ATGTCTACTTTCTCCCGTCCATTGGGTCACCATGTATCTCTACTTTCTCCCGTCCATTGGGTCACCATGTCTACTTTCTCCCGTCCATTGGGTCACCATGTCTACTTTCTCCCGTCCATTGGGTCACCATGTCTCTCTACTTTCTCCCGTCCATAAGGTCACCATGTCTACTTTCTCCCGTCCATTGGGTCACCATGTCTCTCTACTTTTTCCCGTCCGTAGGGTCACCATGTCTACTTTCTCCCGTCCATAGGGTCACCATGTCTACTTTCTCCCGTCCATTGGGTCACCATGTCTCTCTACTTTCTCCCGTCCATAAGGTCACCATGTCTACTTTCTCCCGTCCATTGGGTCACCATGTCTCTCTACTTTCTCCCGTCCATAGGGTCACCATGTCTACTTTCTCCCGTCCATTGGGTCACCATGTCTACTTTCTCCCGTCCATTGGGTCACCATGTCTCTCTACTTTCTCCCGTCCATTGGGTCACCATGTCTCTCTACTTTCTCCCGTCCATTGGGTCACCATGTCTACTTTCTCCCGTCCATTGGGTCACCATGTCTCTCTACTTTCTCCCGTCCATTGGGTCACCATGTCTACTTTCTCCCGTCCATTGGGTCACCATGTCTTGCTGTTCTATCTGGTGTGTGGGCTGGCCATCCAGTGGTCAAGCTCCACAACACATGACTCACGCCTGATAAGGCCCACACGGAACCCCCCGCCATCGATTGACACGGCGTATACTGTAAGGATATGATCAGATGTTGGGGCCAGGCAATATTTAATACCAGGCCTTCAAACATCGGATGGACGGCGTATACTGTAAGGATATGATCAGATGTTGGGGCCAGCCAATATTTAATACCAGGCCTTCAAACATCGGATAGCGTGTGGCACACCAGCCTGATGGTAGGAAACTATTTGCCGCGTTAATGGGCTCGTCGGTACAGGGATAGTGGTCGGGTTTAGATTAGGTTCGTCGGTACGTGGATAATGGTCGGGTTTAGGGTCGTCGGTACGTGGATAATGGTCGGGTTTAGGGTCGTCGGTACGTGGATAATGGTCGGGTTTAGGGACGTCGGTACATGGATAATGGTCGGGTTTAGATTAGGGTCGTCGGTACGTGGATAATGGTCGGGTTTAGATTAGGGACGTAGGTACGTGGATACTGGTCGGGTTTAGGGACGTCGGTACGTGGATAATGGTCGGGTTTAGGGACGTCGGTACATGGATAATGGTCGGGTTTAGATTAGGGTCGTCGGTACGTGGATAATGGTCGGGTTTAGGGTCGTCGGTACGTGGATAATGGTCGGGTTTAGGGTCGTCGGTACGTGGATAATGGTCGGGTTTAGGGTCGTCGGTACGTGGATAATGGTCGGGTTTAGATTAGGTCGTCGGTACGTGGATAATGGTCGGGTTTAGGGTCGTCGGTACGTGGATAATGGTCGGGTTTAGATTAGGTCGTCGGTACGTGGATAATGGTCGGGTTTAGATTAGGGTCGTCGGTACGTGGATAATGGTCGGGTTTAGGGTCGTCGGTACGTGGATAATGGTCGGGTTTAGGGTCGTCGGTACGTGGATAATGGTCGGGTTTAGGGTCGTCGGTACGTGGATAGTGGTCGGGTTTAGATTAGGGTCGTCGGTACGTGGATAATGGTCGGGTTTAGGGTCGTCGGTACGTGGATAATGGTCGGGTTTAGATTAGGGTCGTCGGTACGTGGATAATGGTCGGGTTTAGGGTCGTCGGTACGTGGATAATGGTCGGGTTTAGGGTCGTCGGTACGTGGATAATGGTCGGGTTTAGATTAGGGTCGTCGGTACGTGGATAGTGGTCGGGTTTAGATTAGGGTCGTCGGTACGTGGATAATGGTCGGGTTAAGCTTAGGGTCGTCGGTACGTGGATAATGGTCGGGTTTAGGGTCGTCGGTACGTGGATAATGGTCGGGTTTAGGGACGTCGGTACGTGGATAATGGTCGGGTTTAGGGTCGTCGGTACGTGGATAATGGTCGGGTTTAGGGTCGTCGGTACGTGGATAGTGGTCGGGTTTAGATTAGGGTCGTCGGTACGTGGATAATGGTCGGGTTTAGGGTCGTCGGTACGTGGATAATGGTCGGGTTTAGATTAGGGTCGTCGGTACGTGGATAATGGTCGGGTTTAGGGTCGTCGGTACGTGGATAATGGTCGGGTTTAGATTAGGGTCGTCGGTACGTGGATAATGGTCGGGTTTAGGGTCGTCGGTACGTGGATAATGGTCGGGTTTAGGGTCGTCGGTACGTGGATAATGGTCGGGTTTAGATTAGGGACGTCGGTACGTGGATAATGGTCGGGTTTAGATTAGGGTCGTCGGTACGTGGATAATGGTCGGGTTTAGATTAGGGACGTCGGTACGTGGATAATGGTCGGGTTTAGGGTCGTCGGTACGTGGATAATAGTCGGGTTTAGATTAGGGTCGTCGGTACGTGGATACTGGTCGGGTTTAGATTAGGGTCGTCGGTACGTGGATAATGGTCGGGTTTAGGGTCGTCGGTACGTGGATAATGGTCGGGTTTAGGGACGTCGGTACGTGGATAATGGTCGGGTTTAGATTAGGGTCGTCGGTACGTGGATACTGGTCGGGTTTAGATTAGGGACGTCGGTACGTGGATAATGGTCGGGTTTAGGGTCGTCGGTACGTGGATAATGGTCGGGTTTAGATTAGGGTCGTCGGTACGTGGATAATGGTCGGGTTTAGATTAGGGACGTCGGTACGTGGATAATGGTCGGGTTTAGGGTCGTCGGTACGTGGATAATGGTCGGGTTTAGATTAGGGTCGTCGGTACGTGGATAATGGTCGGGTTTAGATTAGGGACGTCGGTACATGGATAATGGTCGGGTTTAGATTAGGGACGTCGGTACGTGGATAATGGTCGGGTTTAGGGTCGTCGGTACGTGGATAATGGTCGGGTTTAGGGTCGTCGGTACGTGGATAATGGTCGGGTTTAGGGTCGTCGGTACGTGGATAATGGTCGGGTTTAGGGTCGTCGGTACGTGGATAGTGGTCGGGTTTAGATTAGGGTCGTCGGTACGTGGATAATGGTCGGGTTTAGATTAGGGTCGTCGGTACGTGGATAATGGTCGGGTTTAGGGTCGTCGGTACGTGGATAATGGTCGGGTTTAGCTTAGGGTCGTCGGTACGTGGATAATGGTCGGGTTTAGATTAGGGTCGTCGGTACGTGGATAGTGGTCGGGTTTAGGGTCGTCGGTATGTGGATAATGGTCGGGTTTAGGGTCGTCGGTACGTGGATAATGGTCGGGTTTAGATTAGGGTCGTCGGTACGTGGATAATGGTCGGGTTTAGATTAGGGTCGTCGGTACATGGATAATGTTCGGGTTTAGATTAGGGTCGTCGGTACGTGGATAATGGTCGGGTTTAGGTTAGGGTCGTCGGTACGTGGATAATGGTCGGGTTTAGATTAGGGTCGTCGGTACGTGGATAATGGTCGGGTTTAGATTAGGGTCGTCGGTACGTGGATAATGGTCGGGTTTAGATTAGGGTCGTCGGTACGTGGATAATGGTCGGGTTTAGATTAGGGTCGTCGGTACGTGGATAATGGTTGGGTTTAGATTAGGGACGTCGGTACGTGGATAATGGTCGGGTTAAGATTAGGGACGTCGGTACGTGGATAATGGTCGGGTTTAGGGTCGTCGGTACGTGGATAATAGTCGGGTTTAGTTTAGGGTCGTCGGTACGTGGATAATGGTCGGGTTTAGATTAGGGTCGTCGGTACGTGGATAATGGTCGGGTTTAGATTAGGGACGTAGGTACGTGGATAATGGTCGGGTTTAGATTAGGGTCGTCGGTACGTGGATAATGGTCGGGTTAAGATTAGGGTCGTCGGTACTGTGATCGTGGTCGGTTTAGCTTAAGGTGACATTAGTGGCGATGGTCTTACTGTTGTGCCGCTCACAGAAAACGTTGAACCTGTTATGTGTCGAGCAGGAAAAAAGCACGAAGCGACATTGCTAACTTAGCAAAATACAGCCGAGGTAATTGATGTATCAAAGTTGCACCCGTACACTGTCATCGTATTGAAGTGCGAGTGATATGGATTGACCAGGCTAGGATACACGTCTCTACTTTAGCGCCTGTTTTATTAGCTTTGTGTTTAATCGAGACGTTTATTCCTCGGCTCCCGCCCTCTCCAGCACACAAAGCAATGAATGGTCAAGGCCTATCGATCTCCTCCACTGGCTCATCCAGATTCTCGTCTTCGTTCTTTGTTTGCTCTCTCTCTTTATTTCTTTCATCCTTCTCTCCATCTCCACTCTTCCTTTAGTTTGTGGACATCTTTTCACTCCTTTAACTTTGTTTTCCCTTCAAACATTGATGTTTGATAACTTGTGTTAACTATAACCCCTCCTCCCATTAAAAAAAAAATGGAAGTAACTTATAACTGTTTTCTCTACTCTTTTTCCCCTAAATAATTTAGAGTAAAACCAAATTAAAAAAAAACCCATAACAAGCAATAGTTAACATTTGTCTCCTCCAGCTCAAATTATACAACAAGCTTGTAACCCTTGATTTCAAAAGTATACTGTTGAATAATTTGCTTATTCAGTAAAACTTTAGTTACAACAAAAAAACAAAACCAAAGCAGTAATGCATTTAACCAGAGAAAACCATACATCAGCACTGGTATCAGTGGCGTCACTCGGTCATGTGGGTGTCACCAGTTGTGGAATCTCATGGTGTCACCCCGCCCTATTTTTTGTCTCAGTAAATTTTGCAGTTGGTGTCACACCCCTGTTAAAAGCTTTAAAGTGTTTACATTTAATACTAATGATGTTTATCTATAGTCAGATGTTAATACAGCTGGGTGTAACATTGCTTTCAATATAGTTTGCATGTTTACTTTATAGTGGTAGAAACCTCAGATTTTGTCCCAGGTCACGTAATCCCTCCACCTTTCTCATAAAATTATGTTTAATATGATTGAATAAAATTACCCAACATGATTTCAGTTGCTGCCAACACGCTGGACAAGAAAGTGGGAGAAAATGCTTCCATTGTTTGTCCAGAAGTGAAGCCAGGACAGAAGTTCCAGAATGTGACATGGTATAAAGACAAAGCTCAACTGGCATTCATTGACTCAGCACGTACCCCACCCCTAATGTCAGACAGTCGGGTAAGATTGGCTCCTGGTTTTTTTACATTTTTATTTATTAGCTTTTAATTTATTTTGACTGGCTGAGTTTATTAAATACATATCTTTTAAAAATTTTCTAACAGATTTCCTTTACGACGGATGGATTTTTCCGAATGGATATTTCAAATCTTATAAAGCAAGACGCAGGTGTTTATGATTGTCAGCTGTATGTCAGTGATGATAGCGAGGTACAGACATTGGAAACTAAACAAACAACACTTACTGTTGTAGGTGAGTAATTTATTATTGTAACTTAGCCTTAGAGTCTACCAGTGGTACAGGCCAGTGGTAAAGTATTGTAGTACATGTTGATTTGTTCTCGCTCTAAACTACACTTAAACTGCTGTGTGTAGCTTGAGCTACACTGTGTGTGGTTTTAGATTATTTGAGGTCCCTACTGACACTACACAATGTAAACCATTTTTGAAGTGATAAGCACAACCTCATATTGGTGGGTTCACATGGCCTAGTGGTAGAGCAAATGAGTGCTAACCCAAAAGTATTGGGTTCAGTTCCTGGGGTCAAGCCTGAGTTTACCCATTTAGGTGACTACCACAAGTTGGGGCAAGTTAAGGAGAATGTTTTAATGCGGACAGAAAAAATTTGCCATCTTCTTTATCTATTGTTAGGCATACTCTGCTACCTTCATTTGCTTCAATCAATCATTTTGTACCATGCATTTTAGGGGATTTAATAATTTTAACCATAATTAATTGGATGCGTTCACAACCTTTCTAATAAATGTTGAATATAAATGAAATCATGTAGTACAAACCCCAACAGGTTTGTAAGGTGGTCTAATGTGCCGTGCCACATGACCAGGATGTCTGCTATGTAGCTGTGTATAACTCTCTATATTTCTATTTCTTGTGCAGCAATCAAGCCAGTTACTAAAGTCTATGCCCAGTCCAGACAAGCAACTGTTTCTTGGAGTATTTCAAATGAAAATCCAATACAACATTTTTATCTGTCCTTTGGGTATGTTTCTAGATCTGGTGTTATGTTTGAAATATGATACCAGAGTTCTTTAACTATAGTTTTTAAAACTGTATTTTGTTTTTACACTTTTTTAACCAAGAAATACAACCTGGTACATGTTTTAAAAAATATTTGAATACATTTATAAACTTAATTGAAGAATTAAGCTCTGTAATGTAGTTCTGTGTTCTATTTGAGCTCTTTTAACCACAGAACGTGTGACTCTGCTGATGGTGCTTCTGAAAAAAAGGTCCCAGCTAGCCAGAGTGAAGCAACTTTTGAAAGCCTTCAGCCAAACACCTGCTATAAGTTAGCAGTCCAGGCTGAGTACAGCTCAGGCCGCAGTGAACGCAGTGTAGAAGAATTTAAGACACTAGAAGAAGGTAAGATTTAGAAGCTGATTTGTTCCATTATTCTATTGAATTGTCAGCTGAAATAAGTACTTGTACAGCCATTAGAGAATGTATCTATCTTTACAACCAAACCTTATACGTGTAAATGATTGGACAGGTATCATATGACCAAGGACTTGGCTGATCTGTTGCATTTTGTTTCTGATTTAATTTACATTTTTCAATGGATTTTTACAAAGAAGGAGTTTGACTCGATATTGTTAATACATTTTTTATTTTTTAAAACTGTTAAATACACAATTCCACAATGATTGTACATAAAAATGCTTATATTTTTCTTAAACTTGCCAGCCAAGTTAGATGATAATAGTAAGTAATTGTTTGTATGTTGTTTTATTTTTTTATTTTACTGCTCTAGTCTAGTCTTGAATTGTGCAGTTAAATCTGTTCTTTCAAACTCCATCTAGAAGGCCAAAAGCCTTAATATAATATTCCCTTTTTGTTTAGCTTAAATATCTGATTGATTTAGTAAATTCAAATAAAAAATAATTTGATATATACATTTCTTGTCCCTGCGTGGCTTAATGCAAAAACCAAAGCTTCTCTAAAGTCACACCCTTTATAAGCTTTTTTACACACAAAAAAAGACCCATTATTAAATAATTAATTTTTAACCTGAATTTGAATTTAAAAAGAAATACCATCGTAATAATTATGACATAAATAATAAAACCTTATTTTTTTAGTGGTTACCACTAGTATTGTTGTAGCCTTGTGTTTCATTAATTCAATTTTAAACTCACTTTTTAAAAAGCAATTAACTTCATAACACTCGATCTGTTAGTGGGGTTTTAACATGTTTATTTAACTAACTAAAAACTTGCTAGAAGTTAAAAAATATTTTGCTTTCTACCCAAATCTAGTATCTTGAAAAATACACTATTCACACACCAAATCTTTGGGTAGTGTAGTTGTACTACACAGTAAACAGTAGGCTGTAGATTGCATGAGTTGCTGCCCTGTTTCTGTCAAGACTCATTGAATGGCTTGGTTTGATAGTCATGTCATTAATACCTATTGAGAGTCACATCCAACTTTGTTTCAGTGATCATCATTCTTTTGTTAACTATTGTGACTAGAAATGACCAATTATTTGACCCTGTTGCTTGCCATTGAAGTGCTGCGTATGGGTAATGATAATTTTGTGTTGAATGGTCTGTAGAAAAATCCCTGGTTCAGGATATTGACTTGCCTTTATTAACCAAGAAACAACGATACAGAAAATGATGTTTTAATAATATATTAAAAATTTTTAAATACAGAAGCTAGTTAGCACATTATTTTTTCTCTAGAAAACTGATTCAGTGAAAGGAAAGAAGAAAATAGGCATATTTATTTTAAAAAAACATTGGTTGATTTATCTTGAAGAGTTGACTTTTTTATTATTTCTAACTAATTTCGTAATTGTTTTTCTTAACTTTAAAAAATAGTGTTCACCTTCTAAAAGCATGAAGTAAAGTGATTAGATTAGTTAATTTTAAAATTTTACTTTTTCTCCTTGATTTAAGACAAGCATTTTTCCTGTAAAGATAAGATTTGAGAGTGTAAATGTCTGTGTTTATTTCAGCTACTGAGGCTCCCAATGTTACTATTTACTGTAAGTGAATGTGTAAAGAAGTTGTGCCAAAGTTTATTTAAAAGCTTTGTCAATGAGAGCATTTTGTTGTTTCACCCTGGTTATGTCCCCTCACATTCAATTCAGTCCTTGTTTTAAATGTTATCTCCCTTCAATGGATGTTTCATTTAAGTGTAAAACTTTGTTTATTTGTCTTGTGTACTTACAAGTTAACTACTGACCCCATGTTACATCTTTTAGATGGTAACATATAAAAAAAATTGATTGTTATTATTAGCATAATTCATTATCTTTAAATGTCATGAATTTTTGCTGTCAGCATTTTAATATCAACCTTACCAACAATAATTACCATGACAAAAATTATTGAATGTTGCTTCTTCAGCAAAAGTTGTAGAATATGTAGATTTAGAATGGTCATAACGATTTAACTAAAATATCTGCACATAGAGATTACAAATATCTGAAAGATTCCAATGAATTTAGTTTGTCCAATAAACATACACTAAGGGGTCATCCATAAATGACGTCACCCTTTTTTTTGACAATTTTTACCTCCCCCCCCCCCCTCCCCTCAGTCACACGTCGTCACAAAAAGCCAGACCCCCCTCCCCTAAAATGATGTCACACCTCAACCTACAACCCCCCTAAAAATTGCAGTTGAATTTTTTTAAAACATCGATATTTTTCTAAAATCTTTTCTAAACTATTACAATTTATTAAAACAGTTATCTAAAACGCGAAATAACGTCTAAAATTCGTTTTCTAACATTGCTTTTTTATAATGCAAAAGTGTGACGTCGCAACATCTGAACCCCCCCCCCCCTCATCACACATCGTCTCAAAATTACGGACCCCCCCTGCCCCCTACGAGTGTGACGTCATTTATGGATGACCCCTAAGGATATGAATTGTTGCATGTATTATTTAATGTTCCTTGTGATGTATTTATGTTCAGATTGTAGGGCTTGCTGGAAAATGTTTGACTGAAATCAGATGTTGTTTTTATAATTGTAAATCTGTTTTAGCATCATATTACAATGTTTAGCTAAATTAATGTGTCATTGTGTCTGGTTTTAAGGGACCATCCACAATGTTCAGCTAAGTTTATGATTCATTGTGTATGATTGAAAATATATGAACAGGTAAAGTTAATGATATTTCTTGGATACTTTATTAAATCCACAATTCATGTCAGGAAAATGATCACAAACTTTTTGTTCCAACCACTTCACCAGTGAACTTTAAAACTGTACATTGTTTTTTGACACATTCTAACATTCTATTCAGTTAGGGGGGGGGGGGGGGTATAGGCCTTGATCTATTTTATTTTTGCTGTGGTTACACATGCACACAGTAAGTCATCATATAGACATTTTTATATGTTAATGTTTCCTACCTAATAACATAAGGCTAGTTGTATCTCCCATTACATGCCTGGCTCATCATTCTCATTTTAAAATGTTTGTACACTCCCTTTAGCTTGAAGGTAAAATGCTAGTTAAGGCTTTAACATTTATTGCCAAGATAAAATTATTCGATTTCTTTATTGATTATATTTTGTAAATGTTGTTGGTTTGTTTTTATTTTCATATACAGATTGGATAGATTTTTTTTCATTTATATATATGTTTCAAATTCTTTTGTTAAAATTTAAAGTTTTTCATTGGCTCTTTTTAAAAATTTAGCAGGTTTAATTAATTTAGCTGAAATCTTAAATTCACATAAAATTTCCAAACAATATGTTTGTTTTACCACAAAATATGTATTCAAATTATGTTAGTATTTAACTTCTTAAAGTGTGAATTTAATCAGTAATTAATATCATTATTTTAATTTTAAAAGTATATATTGTTTTGAAATGATTATTTGTAAACAATGTATTAAAATTAGAGTTATATGTTGTATCCTGCTATATTTGTAATACAGATTTGCTTGTGCCACATGGTTGCAAGTATAATTGTAAGAAAGAACTCTGTGTATTAAAATAAAAATAAAAGACTCTCAAATTTCTCTCTCTAGCGCCAAGTGCTCCACCCAGCAACTTGAAGTATGATAATCTCTCCAGCACTGAGATCAAGTTAAACTGGCAGCCACCACCCAAAGACCAGCTCAATGGTGACCTAGAGGGCTACATCATTAAATATGGCACAAACCCAGCCAACATGACCACCCTTGAGGTCCCTGCCCAACAAAATGTGAGGGGAAAACCATTTCTACACATATTTGTTAGCTTTAGTATGATTTTACCATTTTAAAATCACATGTTGTTATGTATTATTGCAAAACAAGCTTGATGGCAAAAATGAGCCAGTAATTTTAAAAATGTGCAACTGTTTACAATTTGTTTAGGCTCACACCATCACAGGACTAAGGCCCTACACCATGTATGATGTCATGTGACTTTATTTTTGTTTAGGCTCACACCATCACAGGACTAAGGCCCTACACCATGTATGATGTGATGTGACTTTATTTTTGTTTAGGCTCACACCATCACAGGACTAAGACCCTACACCATGTATGATGTGAAGATCTCAGCTAAAAACAAGGCAGGTTCTGGACCAGAGCTGGCAGAGAGTATTTTAACCAATGAAGGAAGTAAGTCTTATCATTAGTATCATATGCTCCTGTTGGTTGCCAGAACAATTAGAAGTTGGAGATTGTTACATGAGGATGACAAATATATAAAAATTGTCTTTAAAAGTGTAAAAAAACTAACTAAAATTGTTTGAATCCCACTTTGCTGGTGGTTGTTTGAATCATACTTTGCTGGTAGTTGCACAGTGGCAGAAATGAAATTAAAAGAATAATTCTTTTCCTGTATAGACAAAAGACTAATATACAAATGTAGACAGATTTTGTGATTGAATTTCTATTACTTTTTTCTTAGTGATATTTTACTACTAGTACTTGAATGTTGGACTTGCTTCCAATGTTGGTGAATGTGATCTGAAAGTGTTGAACCATTTCAGTTCCTGGCGTGCCACGTGTCACACACATCACCAAAAGGAAGGCCACATCTTTTGTGGTGCACTGGCAGCCACCTACTGAGATCAATGGCGTGCTGGTCAGCTACGAGCTGCAGTGGATCAATGTGCACACATCTGAGACCAAGACCAGGACAATCAAGGGCCACATCATGATTCCCATGATAGCTTGTATCCAGGATCTCAGTAAGTTGATGGACAGTCATGGGTGGGTGGGTGGGTGGACAGTCACGGGTGGGTGGGTGGACAGTCACGGGTGGTTGAGGGTCATGGGTGGTTGAGGGTCATGAGTGGGTGGACAGTCATGGGTGGGTGAGTGGGTGGACAGTCATGGGTGGGTGGACAGTCATGGGTGGGTGGACAGTCATGGGTGGGTGGGTGGGTGGACAGTCATGGGTGGGTGGGTGGGTGGACAGTCGTGGGTGGGTGGGTGGACAGTCGTCGGTGGGTGGGTGGACAGTCGTCGGTGGGTGGACAGTCGTCGGTGGATGGGTGGACAGTCATGGGTGGGTGGACAGTCGTCGGTGGGTGGGTGGACAGTCATGGGTGGGTGGACAGTCATGGGTGGGTGGACAGTCGTCGGTGGGTGGGTGGACAGTCATGGGTGGGTGGGTGGACAGTCGTCAGTGGGTGGGTGGACAGTCGTCAGTGGGTGGGTGGGTGGACAGTCATCGGTGGGTGGGTGGGTGGACAGTCATGGGTGGGTGGGTGGGTGGACAGTCATGGGTGGGTGGGTGGGTGGACAGTCGTGGGTGGGTGGGTGGACAGTCGTCAGTGGGTGGGTGGACAGTCATCGGTGGGTGGGTGGACAGTCATCGGTGGGTGGGTGGACAGTCATCGGTGGGTGGGTGGACAGTCATCGGTGGGTGGACAGTCATGGGTGGGTGGACAGTCATGGGTGTAAGACAATCTTAACATGACTTAAACAATGTTTTATGTATGAAACCAAATTGCTTTACACAGACAAGTTCTGTTTCTTTCAGTTCCCTAGACTGACAACTTCTGTTGTACAAGTTCTGTCAAGTGTTGACTTGTTGTTTCTTTCAGTTCCCTACACAGACTACGCTGTACATGTAGCCGCAGCAACCAACGCAGGCCAGGGAAATTTTAGCAACACTTTACCAGCGCTGACTGAGGTTGCAGGTTGGTTCAGCTCGTCAAATAACCATCCACTGTATCTAATCACATAACCATCCACTGTATCTAATCACATAACCATCCACTTTATCTAGTCACATAACCATCACTTTTATATAATCACATAACCATCCACTTTATCTAATCACATAACCATCCACTTTATCTAATCACATAACCATCCACTTTATCTAATCACATAACCATCCACTTTATCTAATCACATAACCATCCACTTTATCTAATCACATAACTATCCACTTCATCATCCACTCTAATCACATAACCATCCACTTTATCTAATCACATAACCATCCACTTTATCTAATCACATAACCATCCACTTTATCTAATCACATAACTATCCACTTCATCATCCACTTTAATCACATAACCATACACTTCATCTAATCACATAACCATCCACTTCATGTAATCACATAATCATCCACTTCATCTAATCACATAACCATCCACTTTATCTAATCACATAACTATCCACTTCATCATCCACTTTAATCACTTAACCATCCACTTCATCTAATCACATAACTATCCACTTAAATCACTTAACCATCCACTTTAGCTAATCACATAACCATCCACTTTAATCACTTAACCATCCACTTCAGCTAATCACATAACCATCCACTTTAATCACTTAACCATCCACTTCAGCTAATCACATCACCATACACTTCATCTAACCACATAACCATCCACATTTATCAAATAACCATCCACTTCATCTAATTGCGTACCCATCCATAAAATATCTGACACAAAATATCCCACACTAAGCATTACACAGACACTACATCTTTGTATATTTACTATGTAAAAATATTACAAAATAAATTGTATAAGGCTGTAAATAAAGTAATACATTAGAAACATTGCTTTAAAATTTACTACAAATACTGGAAAAACAGTGTATTACTTTTAAAACTTACTCCACACTGCAAGTAGATTACTTCTAAAACATACTTACCTTTAGGAAACATAATATTATGATTTAGACTAGAGGCGACTAGAGGTCTCCAATTTAAGGCAGGTGGTTACGTGTCCGGCCCACGAAGCCTTCTCATCCGGCCTGTGGAGAAATTTTTGTCTCTGGAAAAAATTAGGAAATTGACGTGTATCCTGCCAAAATCAGCCGCTGCTTACATGGTCGTTCTGTTTTTACTGAATTAAAATAAAGGCATGCAGTAGTGTGTTATGTTTTCCAACCTATCACTACATTGCAAAACCTTATTCGCTGCTTACTTTTTCTACTTCCGTTCACAGTCCAGGAGATATATAACGCCATCTAGTGGCAGTTTTTAAATGTTTGATTATTTTGATCACAGTTTGCCAGTTGTGGTTGAATGCTGCGATGGCTAAATTGTGAGAAACAGTATTTAGGTTAAGAAAGTAAAGGCAAGCCACCATCATGAATGCCTGATGAAGAGTGGGTATGGACATTGACCTTTGCTGCAGACATAACTAGTCATTTTAATTTTCTGAACCTAAAACGACAAGGAGAGGAACATTTATTTTCTGATCTATACACCCACCTAAAGGCCTTCAGATCCAAACTTGTCTTGTTTTTGGAACAAGCACAGGCCAACAACTTGATGCACTTTCATCAGTGCAAGGTCTTCATGGCTGAAACAGCTGAGTCATTTGCATGTGAGATCACCAAAGACCTCCAGCTGCAGTTTCAACAGCAGTATGTTTTGTTGTCATGCCTAAGGTGTCAGCCTTTTTATTACAATTCCTTTTGGGCCTCACAATATGATGAGATACTTTAACATGAGATACCCTTTTATATATTTTATCCTTAAGGAAAGTAATTGAGATATTTTATCTTAGGCTGGAATTTCTATATTACACATTCTAGTGGTGTGTTACACATCTCCATAGCACACATTCCTACACACTCCTAGTGATGCATCACACATCTCTACCACACATTCCTACACACTCCTAGTGATGCATCACACATCTCTACCACACATTCCTACACACTCCTAGTGATGCATCATACATCTCTACAACACATTCCTACACACTCCTAGTGATGCATCACACATCTCTACCACACATTCCTACACACTCCTAGTGATGCATCATACATCTCTACAACACATTCCTACACACTCCTAGTGATGCATCACACATCTCTACCACACATTCCTACACACTCCTAGTGATGCATCATACATCTCTACAACACATTCCTACACACTCCTAGTGATGCATCACACATCTCTACCACACATTCCTACACACTCCTAGTGATGCATCATACATCTCTACAACACATTCCTACACACTCCTAGTGATGCATCACACATCTCTACCACACATTCCTACACACTCCTAGTGATGCATCACACATCTCTACCACACATTCCTACACACTCCTAGTGATGCATCATACATCTCTACAACACATTCCTACACACTCCTAGTGATGCATCACACATCTCTACCACACATTCCTACACACTCCTAGTGATGCATCATACATCTCTACAACACATTCCTACACACTCCTAGTGATGCATCACACATCTCTACCACACATTCCTACACACTCCTAGTGATGCATCACACATGCCTACAACACATTCCTACACACTCCTAGTGATGCATCACACATCTCTACCACAGATTCCTTCACATCCCTCCCCCCCACAACACATTTCTTCACATGACCCCCCCCCCCACACACACAACACATTCCTACACATAGTTGGTGACGTGTCAACTTAGCCTGCCTAAACATTCTGCAACTCATGATAATTAACTTGATGTCCATATTTATACCCAATTACGTCTGATGCTTCACATACTTGATGGTATGTAATATGTATGTGAATGTGTTGGATAGTCGTATATCAAAGTTGAACAAACGGCATTTCTTGTGAAGCATTTATATAGCAGCATTCCCGTCTTGTAAAATGTCAATGGTTTGGTTCATTCGTGTAGCTAACGTCGGCCAACAATAACGTCGGCAACAATAACGTCGGCCAACAATAACGTCGGCCAACGATAACGTCGGCTAACGATTCGTGTAGCTAACGTCGGCTAACAATAACGTCGGCTAACGATTCGTGTAGCTATCGTCGGCTAACAATAACGTCGGCTAACAATAACGTCGGCTAACAATAACGTCGGCTAACAATAACGTCGGCTAACAACGCCTGCTAACGATTCGTGTAGCTAATGTCGGCTAACAATAACGTCGGCTAACAATAACGTCGGCCAACAATAACGTCGGCTAACAATAACGTCGGCTAACAACGCCTGCTAACGATTCGTGTAGCTAATGTCTGCTAACAATAACGTCGGCCAACGATAACGTCGGCTAACGATTCGTGTAGCTAACGTCGGCTAACAATAACGTCGGCTAACGATTCGTGTAGCTATCGTCGGCTAACAATAACGTCGGCTAACAATAACGTCGGCTAACAATAACGTCGGCTAACAATAACGTCGGCTAACAACGCCTGCTAACGATTCGTGTAGCTAATGTCTGCTAACAATAACGTCGGCCAACAATACGTCGACTAACAATAACTTCGGCTAACAATAACGTCGGCTAACAATAACGTCGGTTAACAATTCGTGTAGCTAACGTCGGCTAACAATACTTTATAACGTCGGCTAACAACGCCTGCTAACGATTCGTGTAGCTAATGTCGGGTAACGATAATGTCGGCTAAAAATAACGTCGGGTAACCATTCGTACAGCTAACGTCTGTCATAAAACTCGTGTCCTTAGCCGTATGTTGTCTGTCAAAAGCTCTTGTCATTACCCGTATGTTGTCTGTCAAAAGCTCTTGTCATTAGCCGTATGTTGTCTGTCAAAAGCTCTTGTCATTAGCCGTATGTTGTCTGTCAAAAGCTCTTGTCATTACCCGTATGTTGTCTGTCAAAAGCTCTTGTCATTAGCCGTATGTTGTCTGTCATAAAACTCGTGTCATTAGCCGTACGTTGTCTGTCATAAAACTCGTGTCATTAGCCATACGTTGTCTGTCATAAAACTCGTGTCATTAGCCGTATGTTGTCTGTCAAAAGCTCTTGTCATTACTCGTATGTTGTCTGTCATAAAAATCTTGTCATTAGCCGTATGTTGTCTGTCATAAAACTCGTGTCATTAGCCGTACGTTGTCTGTCATAAAACTCGTATGCTGTATGCCCTCTTCGTCACACATCTGGCCTCATTAAAAAAACTGCTTGTGTTGAAACAAAAAAGTTACCGTCTGACACATGTATAACTACACATCTGTAATTAGGTCAAATGACGGAATAGTAATAGCGCATTTCACCCCTTCCTCCCCCCTCCCCCGCTTAACGACGGCGTGAAGAAAACGATGAATCGAAACTTTGTCTGGAATCACTCACTTTCGTGTTGCGAGGAAACAAAACTGAACTGTATGTTATATGTTTACCTACTTATGCGGGACAGACTTGGAAATCTATTTATAAGTAATTGGGATTTCCTTGGGAAAAAAAAGTAAGAAACGAAAGTTGAAGATAAAAAATCAGATTGTGAAAACAAATGTGTAATTTCATAAACGGATACGGTTTTATAAGCCACTCAGGTTAGATCGAAGAATTAAACGGTTAGTGGTCTGTGTACCTGAAGAATAAGTGCCGACCGTGTTCACACTAAACTTCTTAGTAAATGAGTAAACACATTAAAAAAATATATATGCAGCTTTTTTTTTGGCAGCTGTTGATGCATGTGCATTGTGTAGAATTCTATAAGGTGAACAAAGCTAAAACACTGATATATCAGATCTGTGTGAAGTCTACAGGAGACATGAGTTTAGACAAGCTGTACAGTATTGTCTATTAGCCAGACTATTCTCACATGTTTGTTACATTGGAGTATCAGGATGAACAGATTTTATTTCCATCTCAGCACCCAGCCCCCCCAGGAACCTGAACATTACCAAGCTAAGTTCCAACTCTGTACATTTGTCGTGGGACCCGCCCTTACACTACAACAAGTCAATAGATAAATACATCATCAGAGGTTGGGGCCACAGCCAGTCCATCAATGAGGAGGTCTCTGGTCATCAAACAGAGGTAGGACATGACTCTTACTTGACAGGTAGGACTTACTAGACAGGTAGGACATGACTCTTACTTGACAGGTAGGACTTACTAGACAGGTAGGACTTGACTCTTGCTAGACAAGTAGGACTTACTAGACAGGTAGGACTTGACTCTTACTTGACAGGTTGAAGTAGGACTTGACTCTTACTAGACAGGTAGGACTTGACTCTTACTAGACAGGTCGGACTTGACTCTTGCTAGACAGGTAGGACTTACTAGACAGGTAGGACATGACTCTTACTTGACAGGTAGGACATGACTCTTACTTGACAGGTAGGACATGACTCTTACTAGACAGGTAGGACTTGACTCTTACTAGACAGGTAGGACTTGACTCTTGCTAGACAGGTAGGACGACTCTTACTAGACAGGTAGATTGTCTAGATAGGTGGAATTGTACTGTTTTTTTAACTGTCTAGACAGGTAGAACTACCACTTTAAAGTAGAAATAACATGTTTGATGATTTCCTGTAGGTGACATTGTTCAACCTAGCCTACAACTCCAAATACTACCTTAAAGTTGCGGCCATCACCAATTGTTATTTTGACCCAAGCAGCCATGAAATCAGTGATTTTACCAATGTGGTGGATGTGCTACTAGGTGGTAAGTTTCAACTTTTCTTTTATTTATAGGTACTTTGATTCAGTGAGCTAGATGTGGGTTACTTTACATCATGCTATATCAGCAGGCCAGGGATCAAATACAATTACAGAATCTTCTAGTACACCAGTGACTTACATGATGTATATCAATATACTACCATCATGCTATTTATGTATATATTTGTGTCACCTGTGCTATATATAAAAAGCCATGTTTCTCTCTACTCTTGAGTTTCTCTGGGTTTTTTTCTTGACATGCTTCATGTAGCAGTCAGCTTGTTTGTTAATTGTAAACCAAAGAAATGTCCATACCACCTGATGATGTAGCTTAATGCAACTTTCCCATCCAACTCTCAGCAGCTGGAAACAATGTCATCAGAGATCGCATATCCAGAAATGGTAAACCCCCACTTGTCTTTTCTTAGCCTGTAGATGTTGCTCGCACAATACAATACTCCATCTGTCCTCATTGTTTATTACATAGTCTTATTGTTTATAGACATTATGGTAAAAACGAACTTTTAAATCTCATTTTGATTGTTTAGCTCAGTAATTTAGTGATTTTTTTTTATTGTTCACAAACTTCCATCTTAAGAGCAACTTTTTAATTTTTAAAATTTTTGTTTTGGTTGTTTAAAAAGTTTTAAAAGATCATTTATTCGTTTCAATTTGGATGCATGAGTATTGCATGCTGGATGTTTTTGGTTGTTGTACAGCATTAGATTTTAACATACAAGGTCTGTGTAGTGAACACTGCCATAGTATTAGATTTTAACATACAAGGTCTGTGTAGTGAACACTGCCATAGCATTAGATTTTAACATACAAGGTCTGTGTAGTGAACACTGCCATAGCATTAGATTTTAACATACAAGGTCTGTGTAGTGAACACTGTCATAGTATTAGATTTTAACATACAAGGTCTGTGTAGTGAACACTGCCATAGGATTAGATTTTAACATACAAGGTCTGTGTAGTGAACACTGCCATAGTATTAGATTTTAACATACAAGGTCTGTGTAGTGAACACTGCCATAGGATTAGATTTTAACATACAAGGTCTGTGTAGTGAACACTGCCATAGTATTAGATTTTAACATACAAGGTCTGTGTAGTGAACACTGCCATAGTATTAGATTTTAACATACAAGGTCTGTGTAGTGAACACTGCCATAGCATTAGATTTTAACATACAAGGTCTGTGTAGTGAACACTGCCATAGTATTAGATTTTAACATACAAGGTCTGTGTAGTGAACACTGCCATAGGATTAGATTTTAACATACAAGGTCTGTGTAGTGAACACTGCCATAGTATTAGATTTTAACATACAAGGTCTGTGTAGTGAACACTGCCATAGTATTAGATTTTAACATACAAGGTCTGTGTAGTGAACACTGCCATAGCATTAGATTTTAACATACAAGGTCTGTGTAGTGAACACTGCCATAGCATTAGATTTTAACATACAAGGTCTGTGTAGTGAACACTGCCATAGTATTAGATTTTAACATACAAGGTCTGTGTAGTGAACACTGCCATAGCATTAGATTTTAACATACAAGGTCTGTGTAGTGAACACTGCCATAGCATTAGATTTTAACATACAAGGTCTGTGTAGTGAACACAGCCATAGTATTAGATTTTAACATACAAGGTCTGTGTAGTGAACACTGCCATAGCATTAGATTTTAACATACAAGGTCTGTGTAGTGAACACTGCCATAGCATTAGATTTTAACATACAAGGTCTGTGTAGTGAACACTGCCATAGTATTAGATTTTAACATACAAGGTCTGTGTAGTGAACACTGCCATAGCATTAGATTTTAACATACAAGGTCTGTGTAGTGAACACTGCCATAAGATGTGGTTGCTTTTGTAATTTATAAATGCACTGGTTAAAGAAACCCTATTGTTGACTCAATTCTGCTTCACCTGCATTTTATTGTTACACTTATTGACATTGTTCACTAGGGCCCCTAGGTTTGAATGTTTTCAAGTAGGAGAAAACCCAATTGAAAAATTTACACAAAATCAAAGTTTCTAAAGAAACATGTTTTGTTTACAATACTATCAACAAGTCTTTCAGTAGTCTATACACACATAATTAGTTTGTTACCATAAGATGGAATCAGCAGCTGTATAAGTGGTTTTCATCCAAAGATTTTCTGCTTGGTCTTTCCTGATTCTCCTTGCAAGAGAGTGTGATAAATTCACATATTTTTTTTACAAATAACTCAATTATTTAGTTTCTACATTTTCTAAACTGATTATGTAGTCAGTAGCCAGGGGGATTAACTGGTGGCCCCACTGGACTATTATATATATAAAAAGAAGTATATTCATTACGTTTGAGTCATTTGCCTGTGAAAGACATTCCCCTGTAAGTGTAATCTATTTAATTCCTACAGCAGCTTTAGACATTCAGTAGTCTCCATATGGTGTCTGTGTTACATCTACCATCTCATTTTTAACTAGAACAAAATCTGAACTGGTCTCCTATTTTATCTAGTAACAGAACCAGTAATTTATTAATGAGAACTGATGTTACTGGAATGTATCTGTAACTCTAACATTTCAAAATATTGTATCATTGTTTCTGTAGATCTTTTAAATTTAGTCCAATAGCTTTTTAGACTTACTTTTTACATTACTAGCCAGAAATACTTTATAACTGCAGCCACATCTGACAAAGTTCTAGCTGTATTTGTTCTGAAGTTGGCTGCTAAAATTTATTTGACAATAACAAAACATTTATTTTTAGTTGCATTTAGTGAGTCTAGGACATTACCTCCCTGTCACTTACTCCCCCTATACTTCAGAGCCATTACCCCCTGTCAATTACCTCCCCCCCACCCCAACGCTCAAGAACCCTGACCCTTATGCTATACCCAAACTCTAACCGCAACCTCAAGCCTAACCCCAACTCTAAACCTTTATCCAACCCGAACCCTAGATCTATAACTAACTCTAACCCAAACTCACGCTTAAGAACCCTAACTCTTAACCTATTGCTAACCCTCACCCAACCCCAATCCTAACCCCAACTCCAAACCTATATCTATACCTATACCTAGATCTATATCTAACTCTATCCCAAACCCATTGCTTAAGAACCCTAACGCTAAACTTATAGCTAACCCCAACCCCAATCCTAACCCCAACTCTTAATCTATATCCAACCCTATACCTATATATCTAACCCCAACACAACCCTAACCCTAACTTATCCTTATGCTATCTGTATTGCATCTATCTAAATGACAGTGGGGTAATGTCCGGGGGGGTTATAGGGGTGGATTGGCCTGCGGGTCTACCCAGAAAAAATAATTGTGTCCCCAGGAAAAAATCACGGTGGGCCTTTAGGAAAGGTGCTCTCAAAGTCCTATTGGAGTTATTATTTTTTTAAAAATAGTATTCGTATTTTATCCTTTCCTTCATGCCAAGGCATAAAATTCAGGCTTTGATGGAAAAATAATGCACAATGAAAATTTAAATCTGGGGTAGGGGGTGCTTTTAAAAAATGTCCCGGGCCTCTTGGACTCAGCCAGTCCACCCATGGGGGGTAAAGTCCAGCTCCTACATTTAGCCGTCTACTTTTCAATGCTAATGCATTTCATTGCTCTTTGAGTTAACACTAGCTATTAAGTTTAGAATAAATTTAGTATGCTTTTCCTTGATAAGATAAAAATATCAGATTCTTCTACATGTAGTTTAAATATTGACACTTTAGCGCCAGCAGTAGACATCTTCTTGTAACCTATAGCATACAAAACTCCATTTTTATGTTTGACAAATTCAAATTCAACATTGTATTCTATTTTGCCATTGGAAATGGTTTTGTTATTTACAGCTAAAATTTTTTTGTTTTGTTCTATCTATCAATATATTCAGTTTAATTTTATTCATGTTGATTTGAATAAGTACATGCATGTTTTTTTGTATAAATATATTTTGTTCTCATTTATGTACGTAATGAATTTAACATTAACCCACGTGATCATTATTTGTCCCAGATATAACATAAAATCCTTGTGAACATTATTTGTCTCAGATATAAAATCCTTGTGATCATTATTTGTCCCAGATATAACATAAAATCCTTGTGAACATTATTTGTCTCAGATATAAAATCCTTGTGATCATTATTTGTCCCAGATATAACATAAAATCCTTGTGAACATTATTTGTCTCAGATATAAAATCCTTGTGATCATTATTTGTCCCAGATATAACATAAAATCCTTGTGAACATTATTTGTCTCAGATATAAAATCCTTGTGATCATTATTTGTCCCAGATATAACATAAAATCCTTGTGAACATTATTTGTCTCAGATATAAAATCCTTGTGAACATTATTTGTCTCAGATATAACCTAAAATCCTTGTGAACATTATTTGTCTCAGATATAACCTAAAATCCTTGTGAACATTATTTGTCTCAGATATAACCTAAAATCCTTGTGAACATTATTTGTCTCAGATATAACATAAAATCCTTGTGAACATTATTTGTCTCAGATATAACATAAAATCCTTGTGAACATTATTTGTCTCAGATATAAAATCCTTGTGATCATTATTTGTCTCAGATATAACCTAAAATCCTTGTGAACATTATTTGTCTCAGATATAACCTAAAATCCTTGTGAACATTTTTTGTCTCAGATATAAAATCCTTGTAAACTAAAACTGATTTAAACATATTTTTTTATCCCAGATGAAAAGGACCAGATGGCTGCAGGACTTCACCCAGGCATCATTTTTGCCATTGTGTTTGGCATTCTCATCATATGTGGTGTTGTAGCATTGGTGGTAGGATACAGGTAAGGCTTCTTCTGGCTAGGGTTACGTAGTGGTAGACGTACAAAACACTTATCATATGTGGTGTTGTAGCATTGGTGGTAGGATACAGGTAATGCTTCTTCTGGCTTGGGTTACGTAGTGGTAGACGTACAAAACACTTATCATATGTGGTGTAGCATTGGTGGTAGGATACAGGTAATGCTTCTTCTGGCTTGGGTTACGTAGTGGTAGTCGTACAAAACACTTATCATATGTGGTGTTGTAGCATTGGTGGTAGGATACAGGTAAGGCTTCTTCTGGCTTGGGTTACGTAGTGGTAGACGTACAAAACACTTATCATATGTGGTGTTGTAGCATTGGTGGTAGGATACAGGTAATGCTTCTTCTGGCTTGGGTTACGTAGTGGTAGACGTACAAAACACTTATCATATGTGGTGTTGTAGCATTGGTGGTAGGATACAGGTAATGCTTCTTCTGGCTTGGGTTACGTAGTGGTAGTCGTACAAAACACTTATCACATGTGGTGTTGCAGCATTGGTGGTAGGATACAGGTAAGGCTTCTTCTGGCTTGGGTTACGTAGTGGTAGTCGTACAAAACACTTATCATATGTGGTGTAGCATTGGTGGTAGGATACAGGTAATGCTTCTTCTGGCTTAGGTTAACTAAGTGATAGATATACAACATATTGATAACAGTCATGAATGGGTTTAAAAAATTAAGTACTTGTTACATTGAAATGTAAACAAAGTAATCATAGGGAAGGTAAAACAGTGTGCAATTAGATAGCAATCAGTGATAGATCTTATCACTGAGATAAAGCCACTCTTATGTCGTATCATTATTCTGGAGGTGAAACTAATTATGTTGTTCTAGCCACATCAGGGAGTATATAGATACTAGTTAGTCTCAATGTACAATGCTGCATATCAAAAGGTTACCACATGCTTATAGGTAAGATTTTAAGATAAAACTACAGTGGCCCCATGACTGCCAGCTCAACCTGTCCTTGAGTTCCATGTTGTCACTATGACCAGTTGATTACCTGGACAGGACTACTAGCATTTAACAAAATGTAGGTCTGACATCAGACCAGTCATTACACACTTTGATTTAAGACATGTGGTTGTCAGAACTAGCAGCATGTTACCCGAAGTGTTGATGTTGAAATACATAACAGTCTACAACATATGACTGATCCAAGTATTTGTTAACAATTTCAGGTTCTACAACTGCCGTAGACTGTTTCATGCTGCCTACTACTACCTGACAGTTCCTAGCAACAGTCAGCCTACACCAACGACCATTGTTCAGGTGGAGGAGCCCAGTGGTCAGTCAACTAGATAAATAACACTCAAACCTGCTGAATCTCTCTGGCTATTAACATTCTTGTTTCATGCTTTCTACATTTACACAACTTGTGTTTAATAAGTGAATAGAAAACTTCTATTTTGTTTTAAAACCATTTTTTGGATTAACAATTAGACAAAAAATAATGTTATTAACATTTTAAAATATTTACTTTGCTAGTGTGATGTTAAAAATTAAATTCTTTATATTAGACTTTTTTTTACTGTATTGTGACATGTTTCTAAATGTTCTTTGTTTTAAATTTACTAATGTGAAATACATAACATAGAAATAACACATGTAAATATATTTTTAATTATCAAATAGATTTTAAATCTGATTTTAATGCATGCTTAATAAGTATTGCTTTTACCTCAAAGCTTCACTAATATTTTGTTTTAATTTTCCTATAATGAACACTTTTCTAATTAAAAAATTCTAAAACTATATGCAAGTCTTACTATTTTTATAAAAAATTTTAATTTCAGAAAATTTTCAAAATATCTGTTTACATTATGATTTGTAAAAAGTGTTGGTAATGTTTGGTTTTTTAAATTTTATCTGCTTAATTTGAGAAAATGCTTATACATTTAAAAAAATAGCAAAAGAGATTTAAAAGCAAGAATTCATTTACTTAAATGACATAATGGGTAGCCTCAAATTTTTAATATTTTTAGATAAGCATGCGAGTATTGTAAACTGGTTTTTTTTTTTATATCTGAGTACATTACACTTGTGAAATTACATTTAAAAAGTTTTCTAATGGTTTCTCTATAAATTCATGAAGAGATGTAACACATTTGGCCTCTAGCTAGTTCAACTTGACTTGTGGTCTGTACCACTTATGAGATGTTAGTCACCTGTAAACAATGTTGAACACACCACCAACTGTGTAGCTACAAATTCAATGTCTCACCATTTTGTAATTGATAACTGTTTTAATGTGTAGACAATGAAGGCTTAAATAACTTAAAATAAAGATCTAAAAAAAAAAGATGTCCCAAAAATGTACTAATGCATTATTGATTGGTTTACATGGCAGAAGAAAAACATTACTCTGATGTGTCTGTTGTGGACTTTATCTCTCATGTGGAACAAATGCACATGGATAGTGACATAGGATTCTCACAGGAGTTTGATGTAAGTACATGTCATATCTTTTTCAGAATCATAGTCTCAATAGTTAATGTTTATTTTTTTGTTTGTTATATATACATTTATGCAAGTATTTGGGTGGCAAGAATTGGGTAGACTCATGGACGTTCAACTACCTTGAACCCAGATTTGAACTCAAAATTTTCTTGTTATCAGTCTAGCGCTCCAGTGCTAGGCCACGCTGTCCCATATTTAATTACATAAAATATAGTACATTTTATTTTATCAGCTGTGTGGTTGGTGTAGTCACTGTCTAGTTTATAATCACCAGTGCAATGACTTAATGTTCATGTCAAGATGATGGTGTTTATGATCTTGTTATTACCAATAAGTCCCTTAATTAATCTGAGATAGTAAAAGGGGCCATCAAAGTATGATGGATCCATTAATTAATCAGTGAAAGTTAAAGGGGCCATCAATGTATGATGGATCCATTAATTAATCAGTGAAAGTTAAAGGGGCCATCAATGTATGATGGATCCATTAATTAATCAGTGAAAGTTAAAGGGGCCATCAATGTATGATGGATCCATTAATTAATCAGTGAAAGTTAAAGGGGCCACCAAGGTATGATTTATAAAACTAGGAAAGTAAAGGGCCTAAGCATTGTGCCACAACATAATCACCTAAAAGTATAATGTCCAAGCAACTCTTGACCATTAGGTTTTAAACACACACTTGATTTGTTTAACATCTGGTATGTTACTATTGACAGGAGATCAACCGAATTACCCACAGTGACAAATACAAATGTGAAAACTCTAACCTGAATGACAACAAGAGCAAAAACAGATACATCAACATTGTGGCCTGTAAGTAACTAACATTCTATTTACATTCAAATGGAAATATACAGAATTAACTGATTTTCATACCTTTAATAGCAAGGTAATCAAACTGATTAGTCATAATGTTTATTTTGTTGATCAGGGAAAAGGTTACTTTAGTTGTTTCTTCAACGCTATAATTATATTAATATGACTGTTTCTTTATTGCAACCTAAACCATTTTGTTTTCTAATTTTTAGATGACCATTCCAGAGTTTCACTGAAATCTGAACTACGAATGCGACAATCAGATTATATCAATGCCAATTATGTTGATGTAAATATTTACTGTGTCATCTTTGTTATTTAAAATACATCAAATGATGTTGTTTTATCAAGAATGATTTCTTTCTCAAGTTTTACTTTTATGATGAAAATTTCTCTTGTTAAACTGATTTGAATTAAGAAAATACCCTAGTTCAATAGGTTTATTTAAGTGCAAACATTTTTTGTTGTTTAAATGTATTTTAATAAATTTTTCCCTTCTGTACCTAGGGTTATAAGAAATCTAATGCTTATATAGCCACACAAGGTCCTTTGCCACAAACATTCCCTGATTTCTGGCGCATGGTATGGGAACAAAATACAAGTGTCATTGTTATGATCACAAATTTGATGGAGAAAGGAAGAGTAAGTTCTATATTCTCTGTCATCTTGTCACCAGTAGCATTACAATTTATATGATAAGCTAGAACAACACAGCCATCATGTCTAACAAAATGTGCCGCTTATATCATTACAATGCTAGTGTGCAAAAATTATCTTTGTTCAAATTTTAGTTTCAAACAATTACACTTTCTATCCGCTGATGACATTTTTAGAAGGAAAAAATATTAAAATTGTTTGTCAAGGACTACTTGAGTTTGCTAACTTTTCAAACTTGTAAATTGTATTGTATTGAACGAGGTTGATTCAATTTTCTTTGTGTAACTCAAATTTGATGAGTAGGTTTAAGGGTTGTAATCCACTTACAGTCATTAACAATTAACATCCTTGTCTTGTTTTGTTCAATGTCTAACATTGTGCTATTTATACTAGCTCTTTAACATAAACATTAGCTTTGTTGTTGAAAATTTTCTTACAAATATTTTTTTTCTTTTTAGAAGTTAAAGCACCCATTTCCACTTTCATTGAAATTTTAAAAAAATGCCAAGACTTTGGCAAATAACAATAGCAATTGTGTGCCAATGTTTTATTAAATTTTGAAATCAACACAGTAATTAAATTGTTAAATTTAAAAAATGTTAGCAAAATGTTAGAATTGTATTGAAATCTTTAAAACTTTCAGAGAAAATGTGACCAGTACTGGCCAAATGATGGCAGTGAAACTTATGGCAACATGCAGGTCAAGCTTATCACTACAGTCCCTAGAGCCCACTACACAGTGCGTGTGTTCACACTGCGCAACATTAAGGTAAAACCAACTACACAGTATGAATGTAGTCATACACTCTGTGCAACATTAAGGTAAAATGAACTACACAGTATGAATGTAGTCATACACTCTGTGCAACATTAAGGTAAAATGAACTACACAGTACACATGTAGTCATAAACACCGCGCAACATTACAGTAAAATCAACTAAACAATAAATATGTAGTCCCACACGCTGCAAAACATTAAGGTAAAATCAACTACACAGTGCATATGCTCACACTATGCAACGTTAAGGTAAAATAATCAACTACACAGTGTACCAGAGTGCACAGTGTACTATTACTACTATTCCTCTAGCAGCTTGTTTAAGATGATATTTTAAACTGTTGACAGCGCCATTCTATGAAGGGCAACCCAGAGCGCACTGTGTACCATTACCACTACACTGAGTGGCCTGACCATGGAGTCCCAGATTACTCTCTGCCAGTCCTGACCTTTGTGCAGAAATCTGCTTCCCAGAGTGGGCCAGAGCATGGTCCTATTATAGTACATTGCAGGTAAGGCTTTTAACGTTCCTTATCATTATAGGAACTAAGATCCTTGTTACTATTAATTCCTTGTAGGAACTCACTTATTTGACATTATTATCTTATGAGTATCAAACCTTTCCCCATCTTTCAACATGATTTCAGGCACTGCCATATTTTCCTCCATATAAGACAACTTTTTAACACAGAAATATCATCTCATCTTGATGATTGTCTTTATATGCTGTTTTATATTTTATACGGTTAATATTTCCTAAACCATATTTTAACTGGTAAAGCTGGAAAAGATGGTAACTAAACACTGACCACTGTCCTAACAAGAAAAGGTCAGAAGTGGATGGACCTGTTCTTAAAATTTGTTTAAGTCAAGCAGAAAGTTACCAATGTTTTTTATCTTTACAGTGCTGGAGTTGGGCGGACAGGGACCTATATATTGATAGACAGCATGATAGCTCAAATAGAGGATAAGAAAAGTATAAACATTCCTGGCTTTACCCAGCATATAAGGAGACAGAGGAACTTCTTGGTGCAAACAGAGGTTAGTATGTAACTCAGGTAGCAACTAGATATCAATGCACAGATCTAGCTTGAGACTTGCATTTTATTTAAAATAATCATCTGTGCTGTTTTTAAACAGACTAGAGAATAAAATAACTAAAGTGTATAATATAATACACATAGTTTATAAATATGGTACACATAATGTATAAAGATGGTACACATAGTGTATAAATATGGTATACAAAGTGTATAATTTATGGTACACATAATGAATATATGGTATACACAGTGTATAAATATGATATGCACAGTGTATAAATATGGTATACATAGTGAATAAATTATATGGTACACATAATACATAATACACATATACATATGGTACACTTAGTGTATAAATATGGTACACAGTGTATAAATATAGCACACATAATTTATAAATATGCTACACATAGTGTATAAATATGGTTCACACAGTGTATAAATATGGTACACATAGTGTAATAATATGGTACACATAGTGTAATAATATGGTACACATAGTTTATACATATGATACACACAGTGTATAAATATGGTACACATAGTGTATAAATATGGTAAACATAGTGTATTAATATGGAACACATAGTGTATAAATATGGAACACATAGTGTAATAATATGGTACCCATCTGTTGTCCAGGACCAGTACATCTTTATCCATGAGTTACTGAAAGAGTATTTGTTGAGCAATGGCAGCACTGAGGTGAGAGAGGAGGACATGTGTGATCACCTGGTCAAGCTGGAGCAGCCAGCCAAGTGTCTCATCCTTCCTTCCTTCACTGACTCCACCCTACTGGAGAGACAGTTTCAGGTCGGTCCACTCTCAACTTCATCCACAGGCTATGATTATTTACCATTCCATCTCAGTTTTTATGCAGCTTATTATTTTTATTATACTTAATCACAGTTAAGTGAACAAAAGTAATAACAAAAGATATTTGCAAATATGTCACTAAAACTGACCAAAGACAGTGGAACTGTTTGAGTTGAACTTTAACCTTTTGATTTTCCAGCTGATAACAGAGTACATACCAAATGAACTGGACCTTTCAGCTGCTCTCAAGCCCATTAACTTAGAGAAAAATAGAGAAGGGGGGATAATTCCAGTCAATTTAAAAAGAGTATTGCTTCCAGCAAGGCCAGGTGTAGAAGGTTCTGATTACATCAATGCTACCTATTTGCAGGTGAGATTTTAATGTTCATTTCTTGGTGAATCATGGTAGCCTGATAAAAACTTTATCTCCTTAAAATACTTAAATGTATTTTTTAAAAAAATACAAATAGCAGCTGCCTAATTTGGAAGCAAAAAAAGTTTTTGAATTTAAAAGTAAAATTTAAATATTAAGTACCAGTTATTCCGCTCATTAAAATTGTATATAGGAAATGTATGAAATGTTATTTTATTAGTCTAAAAATATTAATTTGTGTACATTTTGTTAGTAAAAACAGTGGTACCATTTTTTAATGCTGCTTTGTTTTTCTAGGGGTACAAAAAGTCAGCAGAGTTCATAGTGACCCAACACCCAACAGAGGACACAATGGAAGATTTCTGGCGCATGGTGTGGGATAAGAACAGTCCTGTTATAGTGGTGCTTTCACCCTTTGATGAGGTCTGTAGTTTAGCTTTTTATAAGCTTTCTTATAGATTAATTTAAACCGGAGAATTGCAGAGTTTCTTATTATTATATTAAATAGTTTTTCAAATAAATGTTTGTTTGCAGGAAGAATACAAAGAATTTTGGCCTCCAAAAGGTAGCAGCATTGAAGTGGATTCAGGAAATTTTCGCCTGACTTTAAAAGATGGTCCTATTCTGTGTGAGGAAAAGGGCTATGTTACATCAGAGTATATATTAGATTCCATTCAGGTATTTGTAGAATTTATCATACAAATTGTATCATGTTATCATATGGAAGATTGTTTGTATCATTAAATCTGAAATTTATTTGAAAACAAATTTGGGAGGACTTTATGATACAATTTTCCATTGATACATTTTATTTTTAGTTAATAACTGGTATTTTTAAAAATTTAAGCAGTTCTTTCCCATTGAATTTTAATAATAATATTTCCTAAGCTAAATGTAAATAATTTAAATGAGTTAAATAGCTATAATTAAAGTTACAAAAGTAAGAGTGTGTAACTGAAATGTTTTTAGTATGACTACACATTGCTGACAAGGATAATCTGTGTGAACAACTGGCCCTATTCTTTGAGAGAGCTGCACACAACTTTTGATGTCATCATTGCAGCAGACAGCTATCTCAACTCTTTGGAATGTGGCCCAATCATTGTCATGGATAGGTTAGTACTTCAACACAGCTATGTTTTTAACAAACTTAGATACCAGTTTTAAAATCCTATTTATTCTTGCTTTTATAACTTTGCCACATATATCTTTATTGAAGCCCAAGGTTTGATTGACCATTTACTCTAGCCTCTGTTCTGATGAAGTGCTTGTATGACTTCCACAGGTTTGGTGCTGTTGAAGCTGGTACATTCTGTGCTCTGTGGACTTTAAGGGACCAACTGTTGTCTGAAAAATGTGCTGACATCTACCAGGTTTGTAAGCTGTACCACTACAAGAGACCTGGAATTATTGGAACACAGGTAGGCCAACTTTTGTTTCTTACTTATTTCAGGAAAAGAAATTTTTGTCTATTTTTAAATTTAAAAGAAAACATTATGTACATTTAGTATTTTTGTACATTTAGAATTTTAACAAATTTGACATAATAAATGAGCAAGGAAAAAGCATTTCCTTTGTTTGTGCCAGTTGTTTTTTTTCTTAGATAATCTTGAAACAAAATTAATATGCTAGTATTACTATACTGAATTGCTGGTATTGTTCTTTTTTTTTTAACTTTTTAAAATACAAAATATTAAACATCTTTAACTTTATCAGTCATTGGTATTCATTAAGAAAATGTTACCTTTATTTGGGCTTTTATTTATATTAAAATAAAATGAGCTGTTTCCCGAGTTATTATTTTTTTAATCAACAAAACATAATATCAAACTGTTAATTTATCGTTGTTTATCTTGTAAGAAACTGTATATAACTCTTGCTGATCTTATTTTTATTTTGATCAGAACAACTTCCTGTTTCTTCACCAAGCCTTGGCTGCATACTGTAAACACCTACAAGATGAAGGAGTACCTAATGGGTCCTCTCCCCGCCACCATCATCACCATCTCTCATTTCACCATGGCTCCACACGCCGTAATGGTACACTTCCTCGATCAAACCCCTCTAATACAAATAATGTCCCAAACAGTGTTCATTCAAGTAATACATTGCCTCGGTCAAGTACCCACATGGGTACCAGTAACACTAATTCTGATGAGAGCAGTAGTCTGATTGCCCCGTCAACTGAAAGTGCCAAGCTAGAAACAAATATTTAAATTGGAACTATATTTTTGATTGAGGTAGACGTTTTATCAGTTCACATTTTACTTCCTTGGTGAGGATGGTGTTTGATGAGAACACACAGGCTTCAGCAGATGGAGAGTGATAAGAATAGCGAAGGACTGGCTTGCTCAAGACTGTAATCATCTTTTGACTTGTAATATCCACTTGATCAGTGCTAGTGTGAAAATTGTAATCTATGAACAGTATTGTTAATCATTTCCTGCCATCTAATTCATCATGTTCAGCTGCCTAGTTGACTGTGTAATCAATGCTACTTTCATGTTAGATTAGGAACACATTTTTTATACAATTATATACTGTTCAAGCAAGTTTGTAGTACCAGAATATTCCTTCAAGTTTATACAATGGTTCATGTGTTTTAATTAGAATAAGAATTTCTTGTAAATCGAATAACATTATTTTTTAAGTTTCTTTGTACACCTATGATGTAATCAAACAACCTTATATAGTCACTGTTTTTTAAATTTCTACATTGCTGGTAAGCTTACAAACATTGTACAAAAGTTTCACATTTGACTGTTATTGCTAATCTATAACTAAGATCACATGACCTGCTTGTGCTGCGTCATTTCCATCTGACCTACTCTTTGATTTATCTTGTTTATTTAAATTTTGTATTGTTGATTGGTTGTGTTGTACAGGTCAAGCACTAACTTGTTACTAGTAGCTTTACGACCGTGGATGTAAAATATTTCAGTATGAGTTTCTTTTGTCATGAACAGTTGTTAGGCTTGATATTCCTTTAGCAGTCTATGATTAAAATCTATTTTACTCAATAAAATAATTTTAAGAAAAATTGGGTGGGGTTTTAAGTTGAGAAGTCTCTTTATTTTTCTATTATCTTCTTTTATACTAGATTAAAAGGAGTTGTTTTTTTATACATCACAAAATTAGTTCAAATACCCTATTATGTCATGTGCTAGCATTTCTTTCATTGTTAAATGTTGATTTCAGGATATGTGCTATTCTAAGCTACTGTTGTATATTGCTGCTTAGAAGTTGCACAGATAAACAGCCCTCTCCTTGTATGGCAAACACCTAATGGACTCATTTTATTGAAATGTAAAATTTGTAAATATAGTTATCAAAGATGTCAGAGTTTCTATGGAAACTGTGGCTATTTATATTTGCGGGTAATTTTAACTATCAGATACAAAATAGCAAAAATTAGTTGTACAATGAAAGAAATTAATCTTCTTTTAATTGAGTGTCTACATATTTCAGTGTAGAAATACATATTTAAAAGTTAATATTTTTTATTAGGCAACAACTATAAAATCTAAAGTAATAAAGCATTGAAATATATTTACATTGTTATACAAATTTGAAAGAGGTTATTATTACTATGCTATCTTATTTTATGATTTTATAAAGCATACTTTATTTCTATGTAACAGAATTGATTTTTCTGTGATGGGCTTTAAATAATTATCTAAACAAAATAACTCAGTATTGTTAAAGATATAATGTTTTCACATTTGTCTGCTCTTTTCTTTAGTTTTAATTTGATGTTTTCTGATAAAACAATCTGAAGAACCTCACATGCTTACATGCTGGTAGTAATGACCAAGACCACCTTCCTATACAACTATTTTAATATTTCAATGTTGTGCTTATTAAATCTTTAAATTAATCATTAGATGCAAATGATCCATTTATAAGCAAAACTTTCAAATTTATCATTTTTGATGTAAATATTTACATTTTGTACATAATCATCAAGATAGGATTTTTTTAGTTCATATATTGGTTGCTTTTAATTTTAACCAACACTAAGGCCTAGAGCCTAATAAGATTTATTTAGCACATTTGTCAGTTTTAGAGGATATTATGTAATTAAATGTATATTATTTATTGACTTTTCCACCCCCACATTTTATTGTTTGTGTCAAATGAATTCAACTGTGTCAACAACGCAATCATTCAGTGAAAATATTTCCTATGTATGTTTCTGTGAGCAAAAATAGTTTGTATAATATTAGCTAACTGTTTAACTGCTTACTTTATTACAGAATGCATGTGTGTAATCTCATTTGTTATGCTTTGTGCTCTGCACAATTTCTCTCTGTGCTTTAGTTGTGTGTCATTGAAGCAAAAAACTTATTCACTCTAACATCACCTATCAGACAAGGGATTTTAAGACATTTTCATTCATATTTTTACTATGCTCTGGTATTGCTATACAATTTATTAAGTTTTATAAAAATGCAGTTAATGCAGCAGATTTTAAATCTTGTGTTTTTTTAAACAGCTGACAGTTCTTTTTGTGGTGTGGAGATTTACAAACATGTTCTGTTTTTATTATAATGCTCAAAGTGAATGAATGGATGTTGTATTGTCTTTAAAGCTGTAGATGTGAGTCTACTAGCAGCGATGAAATATACTACCTAATATTTACATTAAAATCATGTGGGTATGAAACAATACGCAAAACAAAAAACTGCCAACATCTAAATGTGGTTTCTTTTAAGAAAGATTATTACTTAAAATTCTATCAAGTTGTTTAAAAGATGATAAAATGAGATTATTAAAAAAAGTAAGACTTTCTTTTATTTAGTTGTATTCTGATGATAAACTAATAAAAGTAACACTATTGAAAACAACCAGTAGAAATTTCTTCAGATGATAAAATAACAAAGCAACAACTTTACCCCCTCCATTTTTGCTGGGCATAGAATATCATTGGGTATGTTAACTGTAGGCACAGCCATACTTTACTTTAGGAAATTTCTGCGTGCTATGGTTAAATACAAGCAGATCTTGATAACCCACAATCATATCTCTTATGTAAAACTATTTTATTTTACTAAACAATTGAGTTAAAGCTGCACAAGTGAAGTTTATAGAATTACAACTGAAGTGCTGAAATCCAAAATAATCATCTGGTTAAATGTTGTGTGTAATTTTGTTTACATTTAATTATTGTTGTGATTTTGTTACTTGTGAAATTTATACAATTAAGTTATTATTTATTAAAAGCAACCAGCTGGTCTAACAGTTTTTGAATTCGTATAAATTTGGAACATAAAATGAACCAAATTTTTGTTTTAGTTGAATGTATTTTTTGTGTTTCTGTAATTTAAAAAAAAAAAAAACAACTAATGAATAGTTTATTTCGATACAGCAGTTAGTTTAAAAAACATCGTCAGATTTTATTAATTTATTTCATTAATGCTGACAAGATACTTTCATTCCATCAAATTTCTTTTCATAAAATATTACATTTAAGAAAGCAGCCTGTTGTCAGTTTTTAAAAAGATTTGAATGTTGTGTGTTAGAGCTTGATAACTAACTCATCAGATCTGAGATGTTATTCTTTCTTTATATTGTCTTTACGTCTGTAAAACTTTTTTATTTATGTACAAGTTATTACATATGATTTTATTAAAACAAATATTTTGCCTCAAGTCTTAGTGTGTTTTTTTTTGTACAGTGAGTGAACAGATAAGCACAGATAAAAGTGATTTTATAAAGTATCACTCAAGTGGTTACGGTTGAGGCTGTATTTGTGAAATTGGTACCAGTGTTTGTCCCTAGTTCTACCTTTTAAACTCTGACAAACAGATCTGAAAACACTGGGCTAAAGAAACCACTACATTTTTTGCCTATTTTTGCCCTTTTTTGTCATTTAACTCTATTATATCTTGACTTAAGTTTTTAAGAACTTAAATATTGGCTGTTCAAAAGGTCTATTTTTTCTATAACTTTAACACATGACATTATCAGCATCACATTACCCTACAATGTTTTGACCAAATCGAAGTGGCTCTGCTGGCTAAACAATCCTTAGTGGCCATTGAAACGTATACCACTTTTACAACTACTATCTGGACCAGTAAGATTTGAAACAGCATGTTACTTAAAATGGATGTATTTAAAAAAAAACAAAATGTGTAGAATAAATCTCTAGATGTGCATGTTATTAAAAGTAAATGATTTAACACAAGATGGGGCAAGTGAGTGGGATAACACCACAACAAAAAAATTAACAATTTTTCTAGAAAAAGCTGCTTTGTTTAGTAAAGTTAGAGCAACAATCACTTAATAAAAATGTAGTTAAAGCACCATCTGACAGCATGCAGTGTTTTTAATAAAAACGAAACTCTTTAATGTTAATTCTTTAATGTGAATTTCAGCAGTTACTTGTCATGTTTTATAAGTATTTAAAAAAAATAAAACTGAACATTATAGGCATTATTTATAACGATTTAGATAGACCCAGCTCAGTTACTAATACAAAGTATTTTTATTATTAGGCCTATAGAAAGAAATTCCTCTCTCAAAAATAAACAAAAAACTTGCAGTAGATTGTACTATGATGTCCCTTTAGTAACTTTAGTAATTTAGTTAGATGGTAGAAATCACCCAAAATGAGTCACTTCTTTTTTTTGCCCCCCCCCCCCCCCCCCGTATTGACTTACAAGTAACAAAGGGACAGTACACATATCACATTGTGTAAGTCATATAAAAAAATCACTCGTTATGTCCCTTTAAAAATCGTAAACGACAACTACGTAGCGTCAGTTCTTGTAGGTCGTGCTTTGATGGTATTCAAGATGGCGACATTCGTCGTTGAAAAATAAAATTTTTGATACTAAATTTTTTATTAAGGTATTATCTAGATGCTCAAGTGGTAATGTTAATGCAGGTTCTGTTAATAATACGGTAAACAACGACAGTAAATTCAATGGCAGTCGCTTGCAGTTACTGTCGGTCTTCTATACTCCTTGTAATTTCCTACAATGTAGTCCAAGCAGTCAAACAAACCAGCTCTTGTGTCTAGATCTACTGTCTGTGGTTTACTTTGGCTACAAACTCAAACGAACACAATACAATACAATTTCGTTGTAAAAGTGGATCTAAACCTAGATCTATTGATCTAGAACTAGATCTAGTCTAGAACTCCAAGATTAAGACCTAGAACTGTACTCCCAACATGAACATAGATCTAGATTACTAGTCTAGATCTAGAATAGATTAATTCAATAAAAATCATATGAAATGAAATCAGACTGTGTCTACTCTACTGGTGTCTGGTGGCCAAGCTAGATCTAGTAGCTACTAGATCTAGTACTAACTAGACTAGATCTAGATTCTAACTAGTCTAGATCTAGATCTTAACTAGTGCTAGACTAGTGACTAGTCTAACTCACTCTAGTCTAGTCTAGAATTCTAGTATCTAGACCTAGAGAGAACTAGGTAGAGACCTATTTTTAAATTTAGTATTTTTATTTAGAATTGAGGGCAAAGTTGCCGCAAACTTTTAGGATAAAATTTTAGACCAATTATTTTAGTGGTAAAACTCCATTTTAGTGTATTTTATTCCCTGCTTCACGCTAAAATGGAGTTTTACCTTTTTTAGTTATTAGTATTCTTAATAATTCTAGGTCTATCTTTAATTCGTTTTATCTATTATCAAGTATTATCTAAAGTTCTTGGTGTGGTGGGGGGCTCAGTTCAGACTTCTTGATGCTATTGTGGTGATGTATCATGATTGAGGAAAGTTCATTAGGGCCTGTACACTTTTGCATTTTAAAAACTTAGGATGCTCGAAACTGAATTTTAGCAGTTAAAGTATTTTGTAAATTGTAATAATAAAGATTGATCAACATTCTTTTAATGTTAACTGAATGCAGTTAATATTTAGAAAGCAATAGTTTTTTTTAAAAATATCAATTTTGAGGAATATAGTGACTGAGATGTTAATCCTTTAATTTAAAAAGGGGGGGGGGGGGGGAGAAGAGTGAATGTCTGACTTTTAGTGACGATTGGAAGCTGGAAATCTTTTTTCAAAAGCAATTATGTTATTTATGGATAACCCCAAAGTCATAGATCTAGATAAACAAAAGGTTTCAGTTCAGTCACCACTTGGCTTGGCTTTATTTAAATTAAAAACTAGGCTAGTAAATCTGTTAATTTAATTTTTGTATAGACTGTAGTCTAGTGTTGTCCATTATAAACTCTCATTCAGTGACACCATGAGCATTCTTGCATTTTTAGCCATACAAGACTAATTTGAATTAAGGGCTGAATTATGTGTTGTATGTATTTTAGAAATTTAGCAGGAATGTATTTTACTCCTACCCATAACATTTTTGTACACAACCTCAGCATTTATCATTTGATTTTGGCAGGGTATAGGGTAGGAACTTTATTATCAACTAATTTTAAAAAGGTTTAAAGAACATCCTTTCAGGCCTGTTGGTTAAAGGGCATATTAGGTAGAGTTCAACAGCTTTTGTTATTTCTGCATATGAAGAAAGTGTGTTCTGGCTCTCATGGGTTACTGAATGTAGTTGATTCATTTGATTCTCTTTTGAATGTTGATCAACAACAGCACACATAACCCTAATTTTTTGGTCTATTATCTCCACTGGTTGGGAAAATCTGATAGCTTAGCTTTTTATCATTATTTTAAATAGTATTTAAAATAAATTTTAATACATAATTTTTCAGAAACCTGACTAAAGATGGAAGCCACAAATGAACAATATGAATTTATAAAAAGTAACCAAGAAGTGAGCAAGGAAGAGCTCTCAAACATAGCAGTGAAAATTGAACCCAAAGTTGAGATCCTTGAAACTTTTGACAGTGTGGAAGAGCAGATTGTGCACACTGTGTTGAGTAATGTTGGTGATAAAGATGGCGAAGAAGTTCATGTTATTTACTTGAATGTTGATGAAAATGCTGAGCCTCAAGTTCTTGACCTGGGGAATCTTTTAAGTCATGAAGGGATACAGGTATATATGATTTATTTCCCTTTCACTCTCTCTGTTTTATTAGCTGTATATTTTAAATATATAATTTTATATTCTCTCCGTGACACGTATGGTGTACTTATATTAGATTTTATGTCTTATTTTCTTATCGTATTCTTAGTGTATACCTGTGCTTACATGCAGCACTTTTTATTTCAGAAATTAATTGACACAACTTTAAATGTCACTGCAATATTACTTGTTTTATAACAGTATCTGCTCTGTTCTAAAAGGAATGCAATAAAATGAAGCTGACAGTTACATTTTATTTTCCTAGATAATTGAAGCTTCTAACCCCAATGACCAGTCAGCTGGTGAGACACAGATTAGCGTTTGTCAAAACATTGTCATAGAAAACAGTTGCGGCATTGACATAGCAATTGGAGAAAGTCAGTCGGAGGCCCAGTCAGCTCATGCACTGCTTCATTTGTCAAAAGCCCAGAATGAGAGTTCACACATTCATGAATCATCCAATGGTGGACAAACACTAGATGACCAGGTTGTGTATATTCATAGAATATTGTGATTCATCTTTTTTTCCTCAAAATTGAATACTGAGTTAAAATAATATCATAAACAAACAAAGGCAAAGTTTTAGCTTTAAAGATCCATCTATAATAGAAAAAATTGTAATTGTTTTTGTTTTCATGTTTCCAATATTCAGAACACAACTTCTGCTGAAGCTTTGCTGCAGCTTTCTTCAGATCCAAATGCTGGAACTTATATAGTAGATGAACAAGGCTCAATGATACCACTAAGCCAAGTTGGGTAAGTCAAAATGATCTTTAAAGTTTGTATGGATTATATTGTCACTAAGGCCTATAAACAAGAACTACCGCCTATTAGCAGCTTAGTATGGTCTATAAATGAATTAAGATGCTATATTAAGGATGTTCTTCAACCAAGAATTAGTAATGCCATCCATATTAGGAATATAAAAGTAAGATCCCCTTTCATAGGGCAGTGAAGTAGAGTTCATGTGACATGACTCCGGTATATAAAGGATCCAAACTCTAGACCTTTCAGCAAGTAGCCGAGTGCTTTACCTCACTGTCCCATTGCAGGAACACTAAATGTTAAGGTTCTATCATCTACTTTTATTCCTGCTGATATAAGGAAAACATTTTAAAGTTCCATCCTGTTCCTAAGTTTAAAATCTGGTTCAAACCTTTCAGATCTGCCAGTTTGCTGGAGGTGGATGAAACAGAAATATCAGCAGCTGCACTCTGTCAGTGCTGGTGTGGGAGAGAGTTCCTAACTGACGAGGACATGAACAGACACAAGTTAGCACACAAGTACCAGAATCAGACCATGTAAGATAAGATGGATTCCAATTTATAACTCTTTATTTAATATTCTCTTCATTTTGAATGAATTTAATTTGCATTTCACTGTACTTGGTAAATGTTAACTTTGTAGCTAGGCCTTAGCAGTTTGACAATTTTGTGTTCAGCTTTTTCAAAGGATTTGCATATTTTATCATTGCCAGGAGTGAGCCTGGAATACAGAAATGTAGTTTGTGTCTAGAAAAATTTGCCACTCCAAAAGATTTGGTAAATCATCTAGCAGAACTACACCCAGATGGGATGCCTTATGAGTGCCTCGTCTGTCATCGCAAATTTTATAAGAAACTTTCTCTTAAGGCTCACATGCGTGTACACAATACATTACCTCGTTACCAGTGCTCAACATGTAAAAAGTAAGTGTTGGTTTATATTTATTTTTTACACTTTAAAATTGGTTCGTATCCACATTGAACTTTATATTCCTCACAAAACTAATTTTCATATTTATTTTCATATTTTTAAGGATATTTTTCTACAAGACTGCATTGAATCGTCATGTGAAAACCCACTCAAGTGAAAGACCTTACAAATGTACAGTCTGTGGGGACTCTTATCCTACACTATGGGACCTCAGAAAACACAGGTAACATCATTGATGGCCGTGTAGTTCATAATGTCACTTTTTCATGTACATAGACATTTCTATTTAATTTTTGAAGAATTAATGTATATTTTCTAATCATCAGAGACTTAAAATGATACATTTTGATTTTGTTAGTTTTGCTATAAACAATTATCCAACATCATTTTTCTGCAGGTTAAATCACCAGCCCTTTAGATTGTTTTCCTGTCCAACTTGTTCAAAAGTTTTTAGACAAAAACAAACATTGTTGGTCCATGCCAGAATACACACAGGAAATAGGCCTTATTCCTGTGATATATGCAGCAGAAGTTTCTCCTTGAAGAGTAAGTTTTTATAATGTAGTATTTTTACATTTTAATTGTGCTTTATTCCTCTTATGGCATTGTTTGTTGATGTTATATTTAATTATTGTAATAAACAGTCTCCAATAGTGGTGTTAATTATTTCCCTTTTCCCCAGCAACCTTGGTCCAGCATCGTCTCATCCACACAGGAGAAAAACCAAATATTTGTCCCGTTTGCCATAGAGCTTTCCGCCAGAACAGCACACTGAAGGCTCACATGAAGATACACAATAACTTGAAGCCCTACATCTGCCGCTACTGCAAGATGAGATTTGCATACAAAGATGAGGTCCAGGAACATGAGCACTTGCATGCACAGAATAAAAGTTGGCAGTGTGATAAATGTGGCATGTGGTGAGTAGCCCTACTCTATCTCAGTGGGTCTCTTTGTGTTTATCAAATGGTTGCTTTATAAAGGCTGATGTTATGTCTCTAGCTCTGGCTTAGTGGGTCTCTTTGTGTTTATCTAATGTTTGGTTTATAAAGGCTGATGTTATGTCTCTAGCTCTGGCTTAGTGGGTCTCTTTGTGTTTATCTAATGTTTGGTTTATAAAGGCTGATGTTATGTCTCTAGCTCTGGCTTAGTGGGTCTCTTTGTGTTTATCTAATGTTTGGTTTATAAAGGCTGATTTTATGTCTCTAGCTCTGGCTTAGTGGGTCTCTTTGTGTTTATCTAATGTTTGGTTTATAAAGGCTGATGTTATGTCTCTAGCTCTGGCTTAGTGGGTCTCTTTGTGTTTATCAAATGTTTGCTTTATAAAGGCTGATGTTATGTCTCTAGCTCTGGCTTAGTGGGTCTCTTTGTGTTTATCAAATGTTTGGTTTATAAAGGCTGATTTTATGTCTCTAGCTCTGGCTTAGTGGGTCTCTTTGTGTTTATCTAATGTTTGGTTTATAAAGGCTGATGTTATGTCTCTAGCTCTGGCTTAGTGGGTCTCTTTGTGTTTATCTAATGTTTGGTTTATAAAGGCTGATGTTATGTCTCTAGCTCTGGCTTAGTGGGTCTCTTTGTGTTTATCTAATGTTTGGTTTATAAAGGCTGATGTTATGTTAATGAAAATGTGCTACTCTTAGAATCTTAGTTTGCCAATGTAGTAGGGCAAAAACTGGTAGGTTTTTGGCGTTTGACATTATCACCAACTTTCTTTGTTAAGAAGGAATTCAAAAAAGAATATTGTCCTTGAGAAGCTCTCCCTTGAATATGGATGTTTGTGTTTGATAAGTTAGATGTCTCTTTGTTGAGGACTAATCTGTATATATATCTTGTTGCAATACTCTTTTTATCTAAATTTTGTTTTCCTTATGACAGGTTCAAGAACCAGTCACTACTGTCACATATACAAATTTTGTTTTCCATATGACAGGTTCAAGAACCAGTCACTGCTGTCCCGCCACAGCAGAGTGCACACAAATGAACGGCCCTTCCAGTGTTCTATATGTTATAAAACATTTGTTCAGTCAGGATCACTTCAAGCCCACAAACGCTCTCACACAAAAGAAAAGCCCTACCAGTGCCGTATGTGTTCTAAGGTACGTTCTGTGTGTAGCTTGATGTGTAGAGCCCACTGGTGTTTTGTTTTCATGTCTACTGATATTTTTTTTCTCAATAAGTATACTGGTATTTTGTTTTTCTATGTATGTGTACTGCTATTTCTTTCCTCCACATTCATGCTATTTTATATCTATCATAATCCATTTGGGGTCCAGTTATAGAACTGAATTTTTACCAATTTCTAATGAAATGATTTCTTTTAAACTTTATACATAGTGCATCTTTAAAATGTGATAAAATTGTAATGTAGTTACAAAAGGGGAAATAATTAAGTGGTAGCAATCATTTATTCAGTCATGTGAGTTGGGGTTTATAGAAAAAAATTTCTGTAGATTTAAATAATTATAATAGTAAAAGTGTTAGTTGATAAAATGTCTTAAATACCTTCATTTCAAGGCTCATGACTAAGGTTTTTATTTATTTATTTTAAACTTTATTTTTAACTGTTGAAAGAAATGGCACATATTCTATTTTATCATGTGTAAAGCTCTGTAGCTGGAATAAGCACCTGTGTAACTGATGTACTAACAGCTATGGCTATTATTATTTATGAATGTTTGTAACATATTGTAAAGCAAGTAGAAGATTTGTACTATTTACCACATTTTTATTTTTTCTTTCACAGTCCTATTATACCAGTGGAACTTTGCTCATTCACATTAGAAAAGCTCATAATGTCGATGCAAAAGCAGTAAAAGATGTGTTTCCAGTGATGCGATTTATTGAGGACCAGAAGGTTTTCACCATTAGAAATCAACCTTTACACAGCAGTGAGGCTGTTGTGTCTGATAGGACGGAAGCTGTCCTAGGGGAGTTAACTGGTGTAGTCAAGGATGAGCTAGTGTTGACATCAGATGACATGGTCGTACCTCAAGGTGAAGGTGAAACCATTGGTGTTGATCACACTAGTGTCATTGTTGATCTGAACACTGGCGCTGTTGATCACAACACTGGCACTGTTGATGATACCAGTGGTGCTGTTGATTCAGGCTTAGAGAAAACAGATTCTGCCCATACTGCCATGGAGGTAGAGCAAGAGATTGAGTGCATCAATGAAACAGTGGAGAACATGCCTGTGGAGGTGAGCGCTGAGACCACTGACTCAACAAACACACGGGATGTGGCCACTGAGATGAACTACGAGGAGGGTGAGGCCGTCTTGATGGACCAAGGGGGCCAGGATGAAGAGATGGCCGCCCAGATCCTACACACAGCTCAGGACAGGCAGGAGGCAGCGCTGGGTCTTGCAGAGTTGTCCCTCAAAGGTGGGGAGTCACTCCCTGTGGAGAAACCTGTCAGAACTAGAACATTCTTCAAGGAGGAGGAGGAGGATGAGAATGATCCAAATGTGACCAAAATTATTCTGTCTAAAGAAGGTGGCATCATGAATAGTCAGGACCCTCACCAGTGTCCTGTCTGTAGTAGGTAAGTCACATTTATGCTGTGTGTTGTGGGAAGTAACGTTTATGTTGTGTGTTGTGGGTGTTATTTATGTTGTATGTAGTAGGTAAGTGTTATTTATGTTGTGGGTAAGTGTTATTTATGTTCTGTTTATTTATGTTGCGTGTTGCAAGTTAGTGACATTTTGTTTTAGATTTATAAGAAATATTTATACTTTTGAGATGCCAATAATTGATGTATATTTTAGCCAATGCCAAATGCCTCCCCACCAATAATTCCAATATAACTGCTCAAGCTTTAGTACTGAACTGCTTAATTTTTTTTTTATCATTCACTAAAGTTTACAATCATTTGTCACTACATGTTATCCTATTTTTTCCCATAGAATCTTTGGAAGAAAAAGCATCATGATAGAACATTTGCGTATACATACTGATGAGAAGCCATATGAATGTGATTTTTGTAAAGCTGGTTTTAGACAAAATGCTCAGCTACGTAGTCACATAAGAAACAAACATACCAAGGTCAGTGATTAACTTTGGCAACTTTTTTTTTAAAACAAAAAGCTTCATTTCACAGAATAAAGTTAAATTGTATCTAAAGTAAATGTAAAAACTGTCAAACTTGTTTTCTTTCTGTGATTAGGTTGAAAGGTACCAGTGCTCTTTTTGTCACAAAAGGTTCCTGTCCAGTAGCATCACAGTGCGACACATCAACTTCCATCATAAGTTAAAAGTGAGTAGTGCAGTATTTGACTCTAGTATTGTGCCTGATGTTTGGTGGGTGTACACGCATGTCAATGCTGGGCCATTGTAATGTGTCCACTTGTGTGCTGGACTACAATAACTCAATGCTGGGCCATTGTAATGTGTCCACTTGTGTGCTGGACTACAATAACTCAATGCTGGGCCATTGTAATGTGTCCACTTGTGTGCTGGACTACAATAACTCAATGCTGGGCCATTGTAATGTGTCCACTTGTGTGCTGGACTACAATAACTCAATGCTGGGCCATTGTAATGTGTCCACTTGTGTGCTGGACTACAATAACTCAATGCTGTGTGTAAGCAAATGTCAAATGTTTGTTTACATCTACCCCCAGGTGAAGTACTGTGAAAGTCGTGACTCAGCCTGGACAGTCAAAGAAGCTGTTTGGTCTGATGACAACTTTGAGCTCAGTGTTTCAGATCCTTTTTCTGCCAGGAAGAAAAGTATCCATGAGGAGAGGCTGAGGAAGATGAGAAGTGACCACACAGGCTACACGGCCAAAGACCAGCTCAAGAAAATATCAAACAACTCTGGTAAACTAATGCTAGCTGAGGACTCCGGCAGTAAAGTGGGGATAGTTTTAAATGAGGAGCAGTACGAGGAAGTTGTACCCTCTGACAGTATAGAGGGCAGCGTGGCTGAAGCTGTTGTCAAGACAGAGGTGATGATAGACGAGCAGGACCAGGCGACCCAGACAGGAGAGGCCAAGGCCATGCTCAGCTCAGACCTGGAGGACTCATGTCTGATCTGTGGCACCTGCGCCATGCAGTTCCGTGGTGTCTCCAGCCTCAGGCAGCACCTGCAGAAGGTGCACAACACAACCCTGGACAAGTCGGACCTCTCTGTGGTGTACGAAGATGATGGCACCATGTTTGGTGATGCTGTCTCTAATGACATAGTTGTACAGTGCAGTACAGACAGTGATGTGACTGTTGATCAGTTTAAGACTCGGACTTTAAAAACAGAAGACGGGCCACTTAAAATAATTATTTTTGATGACACGGCAACCTGCGCGGATGACCCTGAACTCATGCCTTACAAGTGCTTCATGTGCAGCATGCGCTACAGCAAAAAGACCAGCCTACAGGAGCATCTGAAGGAGCACACAGATGAGGAAGTTGAGCAGGCTGGGATGCATCGCTGCGATATTTGTTTGTGTGTCATGAAAAACACACAGCAGGTGACCAAGCACATCCTCAAGTTTCACGGGGTCAAGCAGATCTTCATGTGCTCCATCTGCCAGAGAGAGTTCTTCCAACAGAGCTCACTACACAGGCACATGAGGTTCTTCCACAAGTGGGAGATCAAGATCAGGGGGGAGACCAGTATCCCCGTCCTGGTCAAGCCTGCGCCCTCATCTCTACAGGAGCCTAATGGCGTGGCCAGGGTGAACATACAGAAAGACTTTGGTCACAGTGAGAAGCATAAACTTTACAGCACGGCTGAGGATGGCAGCACTTACATCAACATAGAGGCTGGGGGTTCTAAAAATGTGGTCATTTTCAAAGCTGATGGACAAGAGTTGGAGTTTGATGTGGTCAGCTCAACGGAGCAGAGGAAAACTCTGAAGCTGAGAGACACCAAACTGGAGAGTGTGGAAACTGTTGTAGACTCAGAGCCTAAAACATCTCCAGCCTCTGTCAGACACACCAAGTCCAGCCAGTCACCTGATGGTGATGGCGGTAAAGACAAATCTACTGCCTCTGCTCCTAATAAAGAAGCTGCTCTACAACTAGCCTCCCAGTTTAAGAGGGGTAAGAAAACTAAAGATCCCCACAAAGTTATTAAGGTAAAGAACGTGAATGTTGACGAGACATCGCAGTGTTTTACCATGGAGAGAGGTGTCAACATCTTCAAGAGTAAAGCAGATCCTATCTCTGTTGTAGCTGCCCCTGACAAGCACTCAGCTGCTGGAATAAAAAGTAAAGCACAACGCAAAATCAAACCATTGAGCAAGGGCCCAGTCACACAGCGCAAGGGGCCCATTGTCATGTCCATCCTTGACCTGGACTCCTCCCTGGGCACAGAGCAGACCCAGTCGTCCAGACGAGTGACTTTGGACAAACAGGCCAGCAACTGTGAGGATGAGGCTCGCAGTGATGAGAACTCTGTTGTCCAGGTCTTTGTGGCCTCCTCCATCAGCAGACACAGGCTGGCAGGCAGCGCTGGGGCAGGTGGCGCTACAGGCAAGTCAGGCCAACCACTGGACAGGGGGGAGGAGTGGGCGGAGTCGGGGGAAGATTGGGTGAAGTCAGATGAGGACTGGATGGACACGGATAATGAAGAGGATTGGATGGAACAGCAGGGTAAAGCTAGAGTAAAGAAGAAATTAGCAGCAGAGGTGGCCAGCAGTCCTGGTAGCAAGAAACAGATCAAAGTTGCTCCCAGTAAAAAACATGCTAGAGCTGACCTGAGCTCCAAACCTAAAGCAAAGGATGCTGTCAAACCTGTCATTACATTCTCACCCAAACAGGCAAGCACAGGCTCCTTGCCTGCAGCCAAGGAAAGTAAAACAACCTCACCCAAACAGGCAAGCACAGGCTCCTTGCCTGCAGCCAAGGATAGTAAAACAACCACAAAATCTGATTTGAAGGCTTGTAAAATCCTTTTAAAGAAAGATTCAAATCCTCCAAAGAAAGATCTAAATCCTCAGAAGAAAGATCTAAATCTTGCAAAGAAGGATCTAAATCCTGCAAAGAAAGATCTAAATCTTGCCAAGAAGGATCTAAATCCTGTAAAGAAAGATGTAACTTCTGTAAAGAAAGATGTAACTTCTGTAAAGAAAGATGTAACTTCTGTAAAGAAAGATGTATCTTCTGTAAAGAAAACTTCCTCTCCTACACAAAAAGACGCAGGTCAAGCACCAGACCCACCCCTTGATGTACATGAACGCAGGAGCAGCAGTGGGCGACTCATTAAGAAAAAAGAATATTTTTACTAGCAGTTGTTTTTTTTGTTAAAGAAAATAATGAGTTAATAAGTACGTTATTCATAATTGTTATTGTGTTAATTATTTGAAAGAAAAACAAATGGTGCTAAGTTTATTAATGCAGATTTCAATTTATTTAAGTGTTTTAGTTTCCACTTCCCACATTTCACAAATAAATGTCCACTATATGTAAACTTTTACATGATTGAATGTAGTTATATGTGGCATGGTCCATTTCTAAAAAAAAAAACCATATACCTATGTTAGAATATTTGAAGAGGTTAACACAAGCTGAAGTAAAAAAAAAAAACAAACTTTCCTATGTAGTACTAGAAGATAGAGGCCAAATGGAGTGCAACTAGTGAAGATGCTTGGGTGTGTTTTACTAAAAAAAATTGAACAAAATGTTATTGTGTCATTAAATATATTAATCATTATGAAGTTCATAGTAAGTTGTATATATGTCCTTTTTTTTTATTCATTGTTGAATATTTACAATTAATTTTGATGCTTTGGTTAATGATCATAGTACAATTGTACATCTGTCAATCAAAATAAAAATGTCCACAAATGTTTGATGTTCGTTTGTTGAGTTACTGCCCCTGGGGCCTATCCAGATGTTAGATTTATGTTGCTCATTTTTAGAAATTCGAGGAAGATGGTGGTGGAGGGTCTATTGATTCCCAAATTTGGTTTTCTTTGTGTACATTTGATTTAATTAACGAGCTATTGATGGTCAGGTGACTCCATTGACGCGCTATTGATGGTTATGTGACTCCATTGACGCGCTATTGATGGTTATGTGACTCCATTGACGCGCTATTGATGGTCATGTGACTCCATTGACGAGCTACAGATGGTCATGTGATTCCCCTGAACATCTGGCTGAGATGACGGCCAACTCAACCGGCTGCCGGACTACAGTGACCGGCAGAAGCGTGTGCATCAGGACATCCTTTGTGACGCTGCTGACATCCGGGTTGACCTCGATGTTCTTGAGATCCCGCGAGAAGTCAGGGGACATCACTGCCGAGCCCATCACTATCATGTCTGCTTGTATCAGTTTGCTGAACTCAACAATGGCACTCCAAATACTATGGCCGCTGATACGGAAAAATCTGCCAATGACCTGGTGAAAAAAAAAAAAAGATTTTCGGGGGTCATTTAGGGGTTGGTGAGGTGTTCAGTCATAAAGAAAGTAGACTAGCCACGCTTATGGCTGATGTCAGGTGACTTGTCACCTCATGTAAACTCTAGATGAGCACTGGCGGATTTACCTACACGTGAACAGTCTAATAAAAAAATACAAGCAGTGCCGGCGCCAGGTTATTTAGCGCCCTAGGCAAAACTAATTAATAAAACGCCCCCTTTCTCACAAATTAATTACTAAAACATATGTATAAGAAAACAATTGATTAAAAGTGACATCAATTTATTATCAATTGCATAAGTAGACATCAAAATCAAATTTTACTTGCCTCCGTCTCAAAAGTTTGTACTAATTCCTTCAATTCCAGTTTGCAAGCGTAATCACATTTTATTGAAATTGTCTACTTTGTACTTTACGACATAGCCGCCCCCCCCCCCCCTTTAGAAAATTGTAAGGGCTTCCCCCCCCCCCCCCTCCAGGGAGAAAAGGGTCTGGGAAAAAAAACACTAAATAAAGTTCTTGTAGTGTTGGGCTCCCTGCAGTTCTCCCAAGGTGAGTTCCAAAACGGAACTTACCTGTTTTAAGTTTGACTGATTTTGTTTTTGATAATGCTAAAAAACCTACCAATCTATTTTGTTTAGAACTTAAGCTCTATATACTTTTTACAATAGCAAATAGTAACTTAAAGTTAAATGTAGCGGTCAACCTAAGTTGCAGGAATTTGAAATGTATGTAAAGTTAAGCATCGAATTACCTCCCATTTGAAAATCCTAATACCAAAATTTTATTCAAGGGAAATAGCTTTCACAATAATAGCTAAATTAACCAAGTGTAACTAAGACTTGCTTGAAAAACACATTAAACGCTCTAAATTTTATTACCTAATAATTATAATAACTCTTTTATATTAGCTATGTAACCTTGAGAGAAAATATATTTTACATATTGAATACTTAACAGCAGGTTTTATTTAAAAGTCTAAAAACAGTAGCTTTATTATAACATGCTTCTATTCAATTTTGAAGACATAAGTTCATAGTGTTTTCCAATTCGGGTGCACTTTATTGTATAAATTAAGGTTCCCCTAAATTAAGGGACGCCCTTCACAAAAATCAAACACGGGTAGCTGTCTTAGACCAGGGGTCGGCAACATGCGACTCTCGTGCCGTATGCGGCTCTTTTGATGTCAAGATGCGGCTCTCTAGCTCCTTGCTCAAATATTATTTTATTTTCAAAACTAATAGCAAAATTTATATTGTAAAGAAACAAAAGTTTAAACATAAGAAAAAAAAACTCATCAGAGAACAGTGAGAATAGGTGCAGTAGAAAGTATACGGACAGCCGCTTGGACACTAGGCCCAGCCGCACAGCCGTAATGTAGACAAACCCGTGGCGACCTTTTTATGCTTGCCACTGCCCAAGTGGCGACTTTAATGGAGGATGTTATTTTTTTAGAATGCATTTCCTTATCCGTCCATTATCATTAAATTGACATGAGTGACGTAGTTTTTCAGTTATTAGCTTCCTACAGTTGAGCCGGGTGCTGGACGGCGGGGTACGAGTTTACCTTGCGTTAAGTGGGGTGGGAGATAAGGCATGTGAGAACCAAAGGACAGAAGCGACGGATACACGATAATCAAGGGGTGCAAATCGAAAGTTTGAGGGGGGGGGGGGTGTAAATCAAAAGTTTGAGAAGGGGGGTGCAGATCGAAAGTTTGAGGAAGGGGTGCAAATCGAAAGTTTGAAAGTTTGTCCCCGGGAAGGGTCGCTACGCCTCTGGGGGGGGGTGACACCATTAAGTGCCGCATCGGGTGACACCCGACATCGCTACGCCACTGGGAGGTGGGGTTGCCTTTTCACCATCGTGAATAAATATAGGCCTACATACTACATATACCTAATTTTGGGGTGAGGGTGCAAAATTGATAGTTCGTCCTGGGTGCCGAAATAGATCGCTACTCCTTTTTAAAAATTATTAATTGTTAGGTACTTTTTAATAATTGCCATGAAACATTTGCGCCCCCTAGGGATGGCGCCCTAGGCGACCGCCTAGTTCGCTTTATAGGTAGCGCTGACCCTGACTGAATACAAGAGAATCAGATGCATACTTTATTATCGATAAGAAGCTGCTCGTACATTCTCTTTAGCTCTTCCATTTTGAAATCAATATCTTGCATGATGTTCAACACTTCTGAGTTGGCTGAAAAATAAGGTGTTAGATTTAGTAGTTTTATTTTCGTTGAACTTCTATTAGAACGTGTGTTATTATACCAGTATATGAAATCAAGGAAATGCTATTTAAGTCAAAAGAAATACTCGGGCTATTTTTAGAGGAGTTCTTAGCAGCTGTTTACACGTTGTCAATGGGCACAAACGAGAAAAGTCTTGAAGTTACTCGAAAGGGACATAATTCAATATTTTTAAAATCATATACGATGTTATTAAAATAAAAAAAGGTTTTAAGCTCCTGACTGTTGTGTTCTTGTCGGACTTGACTAAAAATTAGATATAGCTACCAAGCTAGAGTAATGTAAGCTAGCAAACTTACACATCCCTAATATTTCTACCCAGATAATGTAAGCTCCCTAACTTACACATCCCTAATATTTCTACCCAGCTAATGTAAGCTCCCAAACTTACACACCACTGATATTTCTACCCAGCTAATGTAAGCTCCCTAACTTACACATCCCTAATATTTCTACCCAGCTAGAGTAATGTAAGCTCCCTAACTTACACATCCCTAATATTTCTACCCAGCTAATGTAAGCTCCCAAACTTACACACCCCTGATATTTCTACCCAGCTAATGTAAGCTCCCAAACTTACACATCCCTAATATTTCTACCCAGCTAATGTAAGCTCCCAAACTTACCCATCCCTAATATTTCTACCCAGCTAATGTAAGCTCCCAAACTTACACATCCCTGATATTTCTACCCAGCTAATGTAAGCTCCCAAACTTACACATCCCTAATATTTCTACCCAGCTAATGTAAGCTCCCAAACTTACACATCCATAATATTTCTACCCAGCTAATGTAAGCTCCCAAACTTACACATCCCTGATATTTCTACCCAGCTAATGTAAGCTCCCAAACTTACACATCCATAATATTTCTACCCAGCTAATGTAAGCTCCCAAACTTACACATCCCTGATATTTCTACCCAGCTAATGTAAGCTCCCAAACTTACCCATCCCTAATATTTCTACCCAGCTAATGTAAGCTCCCAAACTTACACATCCCTGATATTTCTACCCAGCTAATGTAAGCTCCCAAACTTACACATCCCTGATATTTCTACCCAGCTAGAGTAATGTAAGCTCCCAAACTTACACATCCCTAATATTTCTACCCAGCTAATGTAAGCTCCCAAACTTACACATCCCTAATATTTCTACCCAGCTAATGTAAGCTCCCAAACTTACACATCCCTAATATTTCTACCCAGTTAGAGTAATGTAAGCTCCCAAACTTACACATCCCTAATATTTCTACCCAGCTAATGTAAGCTCCCAAACTTACACATCCCTAATATTTCTACCCAGCTAATGTAAGCTCCCAAACTTACACATCCCTGATATTTCTACCCAGCTAATGTAAGCTCCCAAACTTACACATCCCTGATATTTCTACCCAGCTAATGTAAGCTCCCAAACTTACACATCCCTGATATTTCTACCCAGCTAATGTAAGCTCCCAAACTTACACATCCCTAATATTTCTACCCAGCTAATGTAAGCTCCCAAACTTACACATCCATAATATTTCTACCCAGCTAATGTAAGCTCCCAAACTTACACATCCCTGATATTTCTACCCAGCTAATGTAAGCTCCCAAACTTACACATCCATAATATTTCTACCCAGCTAATGTAAGCTCCCAAACTTACACATCCCTGATATTTCTACCCAGCTAATGTAAGCTCCCAAACTTACCCATCCCTAATATTTCTACCCAGCTAATGTAAGCTCCCAAACTTACACATCCCTGATATTTCTACCCAGCTAATGTAAGCTCCCAAACTTACACATCCCTGATATTTCTACCCAGCTAGAGTAATGTAAGCTCCCAAACTTACACATCCCTAATATTTCTACCCAGCTAATGTAAGCTCCCAAACTTACACATCCCTAATATTTCTACCCAGCTAATGTAAGCTCCCAAACTTACACATCCCTAATATTTCTACCCAGTTAGAGTAATGTAAGCTCCCAAACTTACACATCCCTAATATTTCTACCCAGCTAATGTAAGCTCCCAAACTTACACATCCCTAATATTTCTACCCAGCTAATGTAAGCTCCCAAACTTACACATCCCTGATATTTCTACCCAGCTAATGTAAGCTCCCAAACTTACACATCCCTAATATTTCTACCCAGCTAATGTAAGCTCCCAAACTTACACATCCCTGATATTTCTACCCAGCTAATGTAAGCTCCCAAACTTACACATCCCTAAAATTTCTACCCAGCTAATGTAAGCTCCCAAACTTACACATCCCTAATATTTCTACCCAGCTAATGTAAGCTCCCAAACTTACACATCCATAATATTTCTACCCAGCTAATGTAAGCTCCCAAACTTACCCATCCCTAATATTTCTACCCAGCTAATGTAAGCTCCCAAACTTACACATCCCTGATATTTCTACCCAGTTAATGTAAGCTCCCAAACTTACACATCCCTGATATTTCTACCCAGCTAATGTAAGCTCCCAAACTTACACATCCCTAAAATTTCTACCCAGCTAATGTAAGCTCCCAAACTTACACATCCCTGATATTTCTACCCAGCTAATGTAAGCTCCCAAACTTACACATCCCTAATATTTCTACCCAGCTAATGTAAGCTCCCAAACTTACACATCCCAGCCTTTATCTTGAAGCTCAGCTCTGGCACATGACATAGGTTGATGTAGTAGCCGGGCTTGTGGATGTACCTCAGGTACCCTGTGGGGAGAACGGCATGGAGATTCATCATGCGCTTTACCTCCCCACCCTTAACATATCAGCTGGCATGTGGGCGAGGGACCTATGAGTGTAGGACCTGTGAGTGTAGGACCTATGGGTATAGGACCTATGAGTGTAGGACCTATGGGTATAAGACCTATGGGTGTAGGACCTATTGATGTAGGACCTATAGATGTAGGGCCTATGGGTGTAGGACCTATGAGTATAGGACCTATGGGTGTAGGACCTATGGGTGTAGGACCTATGGGTGTAGGACCTATGGGTGTTGGGCCTATGAGTGTTGGCCCTATGGGTATAAGACCTATGGGTGTAGGACCTATTGATGTAGGACCTATAGATGTAGGGCCTATGGGTGTAGGACCTATGAGTATAGGACCTATGGGTGTAGGACCTATGGGTGTAGGACCTATGGGTGTTGGGCCTATGAGTGTTGGCCCTATGGGTATAAGACCTATGGGTGTAGGACCTATTGATGTAGGACCTATAGATGTAGGGCCTATGGGTGTAGGACCTATAGATATAGGACCTATGAGTAGGACCTATGGGTATAGGACCTATGGGTATAGGACCTATGGGTGTAAGGCCTATAGATGTAGGACCTATGGGTGTAGGACCTATGAGTGTAGGACCTATGGGTATAGGACCTATGGGTGTAGGACCTATGGGTATAGGACCTATGGGTGTAGGACCTATGAGTGTAGGACCTATGAGTGTAGGACCTATGGGTGTAGGACCTATAGATGTAGGACCTATAGATGTAGGACCTATGAGTGTAGGACCTATGGGTATAGGACCTATGGGTGTAGGACCTATAGATGTAGGACCTATAGATGTAGGACCTATGGGTATAGGACCTATGGGTATAGGACCTATGGACGTAGGTGTAGGACCCTTGGTGACCTGCTGTCTACTGTGAGTTCACCTCACCTTCTAGCCTGGGTCGGAGAACAGAACTCCACCTCTCCGGGCCCTCCCTAAAGGACGGATCACAATGGCATCTTTTTCACCCTGGATCACCATGCTATAGAATCCTTACTTGAAAATATACTGCTTCAAGTCCCGTTACTTACAGTTGAAAGTGTATTGGCTTAATTCCCCTGGCTGAACGGGCATGAGAATGTTGATTGTATGGTTAGCGGACAAACTACGCTCTTGTTCTGGCGCGTTACTTTGAATTTGATGTGAATCATTTGACTTTAAGATAGATTTCCTCGGCCCCAGCTGGAATGGCATTCGTCAATATAAACTTATGTCACATTCTTGTATCGTCAATATAAACTTATTTCACATTCTTGTATCGTCAATATAAACTTATTTCACATTCTTGTATCGTCAATATAAACTTATGTCATATTCTTGTATCGTCAATATATAAACGTATGTCACATTCTTGTATCGTCAATATATAAACGTATGTCACATTCTTGTATCGTCAATATAAACTTATGTCACATTCTTGTATCGTCAATATAAACTTATGTCACATTCTTGTATCGTCAATATAAGCTCAAGTCACATTCTTGTATCGTCAATATAAACTTATGTCACATTCTTTAACGTCAATATAAACTTATGTCATATTCTTGTATCGTCAATATAAACTTATGTCACATTCTTTTATCGTCAATATAAACTTATGTCATATTCTTGTATCGTCAATATAAACTTATGTCACATTCTTGTATCGTCAATATAAACTTATGTCACATTCTTTTATCGTCAATATAAACTTATGTCATATTCTTGTATCGTCAATATAAACTTATGTCACATTCTTGTAGCGTAAATATAAACTTACGTCACATTCTTGTATCGTCAATTTAAACTTACGTCACATTCTTTTAATGTAATTTTAAACTTGTGGTCACATTTTTAAATCATCAATATAAACTTATGTCACATTATTTTGTCGTCAAATATATAATTAGTTCTAGATCTAATTCTTTTGTCGCCAATATAAACTTACGGTCACATTATTTTATCGTCAGTATAAACTTACACATGTCCATTAAAATTTCAAGAAGAGGCTATTGTTTTTTTTTATCATAGTGTAAGATCAGTCCTCTAACTTGTGACCACCCTAAATTATTTCACCGTACTGCGCTCTTCTATGGGTTACCCGGGTACCTCTTGATATTGCTAGTCATACCGCATGCAAATAGCATGGTGACACGGTGTAACCGAATCAAACATAAGTGATGGCTCCTCTTTCACTCACACTCAACATGCGCAATACTTTCAGGATTAAAAAAATTAAGCGGGGGTGATCTCCCCTAAACTTTCTAGATCTAGTATATTCACCTAACTGTAGGTGTTTGACTTCCAATGCAGTAGCGTAGCGAGGGGGGGGGGGGACATACGTCCCCGGGAGCCGACCTGAGGGGGCGCCAAAATGGGTTGGAAAAATAAATTGAAAGGTTGAGGGGGGTGCAAATCAAAAGTTTGAGGGGGGGGGGGGGTGCAAATCGAAATCTTGAGGGGGAGGGGGTGCAAATTGAAAGTTTGAGGGGGGCTGTAAATCGAAAAGTTTGTCCCCGGGCGCCGGGAAGGGTCGCTACGACTCTGTTCCAATGCTATTTAAATGTGTTTTAATTAGTTTAAAAAAGATACTTTAATTCTTTTAAACAGAATAGAATCGCGCCGAAAACTGTGTGAGTATAATACTAATAGGGCGGAAAATTAGTGCTTTCTAAAGGAAACATAGGTGACATTTTTGATAGATCGGAAATAGTGTACTGTACCATTTCCTGTCAAACAGTGAATAAGATCATAAACCTATGTTTTAAATTTCGTCTGGTAAACTAAAAAATTCTACCCCCCCCCCCCCCCCCCCGAACGAAATGAAATTTATATAATTTATATAGAAAATATATACTTTTAACAGTGTCCGCCCACCCGAAGAAAGTCTACCCCCCCCCCCCGAAAATTTCAAGTGCCCCCCCCCCCCCCCCGGAGAAAAAAGTCTGGAAGAAACACTGCCTACGAATGTGACATCATTTATGGACGTCCCCCAGGAGAAAACTATTCTTAGAGCTAGATCTATCTAGTATCTAGGATCTAGATACTAGATCTACTTACTAGATCTACATCTAGATTCTAGGCCTAGATTCTCTATATTAAAAAAAAAATATTTTACCATTTTTTTGTTGCTTTTAGAAAGGTTTCTCTCCGACACACTAAGTGTGCGAATAAAGAACAAATGTATTTACATAATAACAAGTTATTAATTTAATAACATTTAGTCACTTTAGAATGCTGATTTCCACTAAAAAAAATATAGTCTATCATTAAAATTTATAGTTTTTACATGTATTGTTACTAAGCGATGAAATGTTTAAAAAGTTTTCTAGTCTATTGTATTTTGTCACTTTTAAAGTATTTTACACAGTTTTAGTTTCTTAGAATTTAAACCAGTTTTTCGAATTCATATTAATAAAAAAAAAATAACATGTTGCAGCTATTTCGTTTTACTTTAGGTTCACAGCATTAAATTAAATAAAAATAATAATTGCCATTTTATTCTATTTGCGGCGCTGGTCGATAAAAAGTGCTATCCGCCAGTTATAAAACACATTCCTTTCACTTTCGGTTTCAAACATCCTGTTGCTGAGAAAGTCATACACATGATAAACTCGACAATTGTGATGAATTGTGTAATTAAATTTCTTGGTTGCTAATCACTCTTAAACGTTTTTAGCTGAGATCTAGATTCTAGATCTATACCGGAGAAAATCAAGCCTATCAGTATCCTGTCGTCAAAATGCAGTGTTTGAAATGTTTATCACAGAGAAGCTCAAAGTACTCAAACTCATTTTCGAGAATTTTAATTTTTAGCAGCAGCAATCAAAATCAAAATGATAAAAAACTCCGGATTCTCTCTCCCTACCTTCACCTCAGGCAAACTGATATTGCTAGTTGTACTAGATCTATATCTAGTTCTAAAGTTCTAAGTACAAGTGGCAGTGCTGAGCCATCCAACACTCACAAAAAGGAACATGATGGGAGTCTCCCAGGGAGAATCAGCATTCGAAATAAAATGGATAAGCAAACAAAAGAAAACTTTGATAAGAAAGTAGTAGAGGTAGCAGAAGAACTTAAAAAATGTGTTACTTTTGTCAATCGTAAGTGACTTAAAGTGAATGATAAAATTATGATTTACAGTTATCATTGTTTGTTAATTCATGGAAAATGCAAATCCATTACAAGTCAATATATTTGAATATATATATTATATATGCCAAGATCCCGAAAGTGTATTAACTCTACTTCACCTGCCTTAAAGGATCATGAGTACTAGTGTTCAGCTTTAACTGCATGTTCACATTTTATTATAATAAACTATTACATATAACAAATGCTTTTTAAAATTTAAATTGTTTAGGCCTAGTGAGTATTTTAGCTGTGCGATGCTTATTTACTTGATTCATTTTTTTTTCAGGTGATCTACTAGTTATCAATAAAAAACATGGAGTATCAGTATATGGTAATTTTATGTTGGAGTTTTACTACACTAAACTTTTTGAGATATAAAATATCTATATGAGTATAAGAAAGTCCGCAGTTTCCAATTAAGTAGCTTATTAAAGTAGTTAATGATATGCACACATTATTAGACACAGGGTGACACCATATGGGAAAAAGTGACACTACAATGTCTATATTTTTACTATATCATACATCTTGATGGTGGAGAAGGTGACACCCTGGGTTAATGAACTGGGTGTCATCTGACTTAAAGATGTCATACATAACAGAAATATTTTGTTACACATCTTATTTAGCTAATTATTTTAAGTTGCACCCTACTTCTTTGAGGATCCATATTGTAAAATAAAATAAATAACTGAAACCTTGTTTGGCAATTAATTAACCTTAATTAGTTGATTTAAAATAAATTTAAGTTTTAGGGTGTGATTGATTAGACTAAAAATAAATTATTAATGTTCAGAAAAACCTTTTATGTTGCTACAATTCAATTTTCAATTTTATGATGGCAATTTTCCATTGATCTTGTTTCAAGGTAAAATATCAGAGCATATTGACAGCAGCAGTAAGACAGAAGCCAGCTCTGTCGTTGAATGTTTACCCTACTTGAAGAAAATTTACAACTCTCCAGAATTAGATGTTGGTTTGTCAATAAAAAGGTATTTTATGAAATAAAAAAAAAACCAACTGTATAATAAAACAAAATCTGTAAGAGATCTCATGAGTGACGAATGCATTTAAGTTAAAGAAAGCAAGTTTCTAACAAACAAACAAACATTCAAATAGACTTCTTTGTTCTTTATTGTAATGTTGAAAAATATTTACCCCAATAAATTACGTTTTACGTGTCAACATGTTATGACCCAAATGGCCTGTTGACTCAGATTTTAGCCTGCTTTTCTTTCTGGATTTGCCGTCTCAAATTTTTTGTCCGACCAAGAACAAACTACAATGCAGCAGTTGTTTAAATTTTGAGTTTTCTCTCCTTGATGAGATGCTGTCCCCAGCTATAGATCCTCGTGTGTCTGGGATTCAAGCTCTGGACTTTTTTGTTCAACAACCACATGCTTTACCAGCCAGGTCATGCAGACCCCTCACAAACAGACATTGTGACCTAAATAAATGCTTATAAAAAAATAAAAGGATGTTTGTAGTAAATACTTTTTATTGGTATTTATTGACTATTTATGTACTAGTTTACAGTTTAGATTTTTAAATAAACAAGCAATTATAAGTTGAAAATGTTTAATTTTAGCTTCTACACAGGAGTTTTGTTACTGACCAGAAGTAGTGACTCTAAGACCAAGCTGGCTAAAGTTCTTGCTTCTGTCGCTACACAACAGATACAGTTCATGAAATATTTGTAAGCCATTTGTTATTCTTTTTTTAGATTCCATAGAGAGTGAAAAACTGCGCCAACTACCTCTAAATGTACTTCTATTAACTTTCACAATCCTTTGATATTTCATTAAAGTGAAAATATGTAGATACAAAATTATAAAAATAAATTTAGGTGTTAGATAAGGTAGGCTAGGTTCCTTTTTATTACTAATTACTCTTGCCCTACTCATAATGACCACAGTTATTTACGTAGTGGCATTTGATCACAGAGGACAATCTGCTACAGTGCACACACATAATGCAAACACCCCCACACACAAATAATGCAAACACCCCCACACAAAAATAATACAAACACCCCCACACACAAATAATACAAACACTTCACTTTCATATGATATTAGTTCATGTTGTTTTCTATTCGGAATTTAAGAGTTAATGATCCTGCATACAAGTTTTCAAATGCAGCAAATCTTATTTTTTAAAAAAACGTGAATTTTTATTCCAGAGTGATAACAGTGGGCGTACCCCAGTGTCCTCATGCCACACCACTTGAGGCTTTCATCAAGAGAAAATACCTGCACGCAAGAGAGTTGGTAAGATTAAAAAAAATCAACTGGTACAAGTTGCAGCAAAATGCAGAATATAATTTTCCATAAAATAACTTTCTTTTCACTGTGTGATCTAAATTTTGAAGTTTGTAGGTTGTCAGTTCAATAAATTTTGTTTGTTTTTTTGCACATTTTAATAAATAGACTTTCTCAAAACAGAGTATAGTGAATTCTAAAGATGTGCACATGGCCCGTAAGAATGGCATGATGATACACACGAATTACACGGTCAAACCTCTGGTTGTCAACACAGAACTAGGGGTTGCTCTGGTTGAAGTGTCTGTTGATAAAGGTAGAATATTTTATTTTAGTTTTTTAACTTGTCTTTAATTGCCAAAAAGTAATCACTTCTTTGAATTTGTAATTTAGTTATTGAACGGACTGGGGAGTCATTAGTTATGTATTTCAAGTCAATATTTTTTACATCTTGAGATTACCATCATTACTTGATTCACTTGATCATTACTTTATATACTTGTGATTGCCATCATTACTTTATATACTTGTGACTGCCATCATTACTTGATTCACTTGATCATTACTTTATATACTTGTGACTGCCTTAATTATTTTATATACATGTGACTGCCATCATTACTTTATATACTTGTGACTGCCATCATTACTTATTCACTTGAGAATTACTTTAGACAGTTGAGACTCCCCTGTTTGCCTGCTGCTGTATTGTCTCCCCTCCTTAATTTGAACTGTGTTTGCCTACTGTTGTATTGTCTCCCCTCCTTAATTTGAACTATGATGGCTGCTGCTGTATTGTCTCCCCTCCTTAATTTGAACTGTGTTTGCCTACTGTTGTATTGTCTCCCCTCCTTAATTTGAACTATGATGGCTGCTGCTGTATTGTCTCCCCTCCTTAATTTGAACTATGTTTGCCTGCTGTTGTATTGTCTCCCCTCCTTAATTTGAACTATGTTTGCCTACTGCTGTATTGTCTCCCCTGTATTGACAGATAAATGGGAGTCTGTTGAAGTCCTGATGAGTCACCACTTGAGTCCAGTGTTGGGAGACCATGTCTACTCCCGTAGAGCTTATTCTCTGATGGGTGTCACACTTGCAGCTAATCCCTATAGTACACCTCCAGCCATTCAGGTAATATTTAATCCCTAAGCTATAATTAAGCCATTTGAGGTAAAATTTAAATCCCCACAATGTAACAAACACTAATGTGTTCTGCAGTGTTTGTTAATAATTGTTTTGTTGGAACCAAAATGTTAAAAAAACAAAACAAAAGCACATTTAGAAAAAGTATTGAGACAAACATGCAATAACATTTTGTTAGTTTGTTGAAGTAACTATGTAAACCAATTGTTTTATTATATGGAGATGTTTTTACATGATGGGTACCTAACCCACGTTTGGGAAAGTAAAGGCGGCTGAACAAAGTACTGATCAAACTATCCCTTCAATTGAAGAGGTCAACTCTACTTCACTTGCCCCATAGGCCATCAGTTTCAATAAAACAAATATGAAAATATTTATTGCAACAAGCTTTTAAATGCCCTGAAAATAAGAAAATAAAACTTTTGCTTTCTGTAGTAAAACCTTTTGTTGCTAAAATATGTAAAAGATATCATGAGCATCTAAAGCTTTTATTAAAGAATGCAAATTAGTGTTATTTTTTTTTTTACTGTCAGTGCATTTAAAAGATTGTTGGTATAAAGATTTTATTTTCTACATTTGAGTGATTCCTAATATATGAAGTCAACATGATTTAAAATATTTTCTTTAAAACACCATCAGTAGCTCGCAATATCCAAAAGACAATTATCTGCCCTGCGAAAGCAGCCGTCCGTGACCACAATTTACAGACAATAGCAAGCTAATAAATCGAAGAATAGTTCTTAATCTTGTTACCTCCCCTTAGTTTAAAAAAAATTGAAGACCTTAGTGCTAAAAGTACTTAAGTCACAAAAACAACATTTTGAGAAAAATGAGTTCAAAGATAAAAATTTACTATGAAACATTACGTTTTTATATGATTTGTTTGTTTGGAAGAGCAAATTAAATAAATTCTTCAGTATCACTATTTGTTTATAAGATAAAGTTAAACTAGAGGAATAACGATCAATGCTTGGTTTGATTTTCACAAAAATGTGACTTAAGTACTTTTAGCACTGGGCTCTTCAATTTAAAACTAATATCTGCCCCTAATAGCCTTCACTAGATGAACTGGCTCTACAATTGTAAACATTCTCATGAACCACAGCTCACCAGACTGTTAGGGTGATCGTGTCTAGCTGGTTATCTCCCCTTCTGTTATTGAATATGGTAATCTATTGAGTGATTTAATTTTGTTATCTCTCCCTGGTTTCAAAACTGTTTGATAAATTTTTAATGACTGATTAAGCATATAATTAAATTAAATAGAAAGACATGTATTGTCATCACAGTGGAACATATCTGGAAAGTCTGAACGAAATAGTTAAATTAGAAGTGGGTCAAAATTAAGTTACAAGATTTGCTACAAACCCATAAACAAACAGACGTTGCGAACTAAAAAAAAGCTTTTAAAAGGGAACTTCATTATATTTTTACATACTATTTCAAACATTAAAAATGTAAACCTTTTTTATTTTATGAACAGAAACTTCCCAAAGCTCTGGAGGAGTGCCTGAGGTCCAAAGGTCATATGACAGATGGGAAACAGATGCCCCTGTTCATGCACAGACACAAAGTCACACTCTCAAAGTTTAAGCGAGACTCTAGTCTGGTCATCCAAGCTAAACCAGATGGAGAATTTTTACAAGTCTTACAGTCTTTGAACTTGTATGATCCCAATGTTTTTACTTAACTTGTGGGGGGAAAAAATCTTTAAAAAAAAATGAAGTTGTGAAGTACCAAACAATTTATCTGTCTATATGTTATGGCACATTGTATACATAAAATTAAAGTTCATAGCAGGCTGTTTCTCAAACTATTCGTTGATTGTTGTCAAAGTTATTTCAGTCAACTTTCAGCCTGAAAATAAATCAAACTCCTGACCATATATTTGCTGATTTGTTAGACAGCCTGTGTCAGTTTTGCATTTAAATTATAAATGGGCCGGCTATATTTAGCTATATGAAGACTTTTTTTTTGAAAAATAAAATATTTCTAAATAGTAAAAAGAATGCTACACCATGTCCATATCACAGGAAACAGTAATGTCAGGTTATCATAAGTGGTTTCTATCACTGCTAAAATAGAATCTGATCCTTGTTTCTTATAGGTGTAAATAATATTGTCTGGGAATATTTTAAGAATTTTGGCTTTATGTACTGACATTTAAACTAACTTATGTCTCGATTCAAGTCTTGCAACAAGTTGGGATAGTTACAAAAGTTCTATCTGCTGGACTTGACACACTTTTAACAAAACAGGTCAAGACTTCAGTCAGGAAGTGATACGGTTTTCACATCAAGGGAACAAACACATTCAGTTGTATGTTGACATGGTTTATTTCACATATTTCAGCTAAACATGATTTAATCACTAGCTAAACATATGTTAACTAGTGCACCAATTAAAAAATGACAGCAAGTACATTAGGACCAGCTTACACAGTAAGTTGGTACAACAAAGCAAGGCAGAAATATACTTTGGTATTAACAACTTCAGTAACAGGCTTTCTACTAGAATAGATCAGGGTAAACTACTCTGATTGTATTAACTTTCAAAGCATTTGTTGTAGTAGCCTCCCTTGTGGCATAAAACTTCAAGTTTTCTGCTTTGCAGTATAATTGCAGGCCACATTAAATTCTATGGTCTATTAGGCCATGTTAAACTTTCTTGTCTAAAAGGCCATAAGTAAGTTTGCCACAAAACAAGATGGCCAACTAGTGCAGCTGGGAAGAAAAACTTCTAAAAACCTTTTCTTGACACAGGTTTCAGTCATAAATGTACATCTGTACTCCCATTAAAAACAGTCAGTGGTAACATCACCAGTAAATCATTCAATGAAGACAGTATACAACAACTATCTAGCCCAGCCAATCAGATCTCAAAGTCTACACAACAAATTCATTCATCCAAGTTAGGTCAGGACCAGTCTGTTTTAAATGACATTACAGAATAAATTAACATATATTATAAATGCAATGTATCTGTGCTGACACTCATCAAGTAATTAGGAATGAGGTAATCCGCAATAAATAACACTCCAACCTGGCAGTAATTCCTGGCTACATCAACACTGAGAAAGTTGTTTATGAAACAACCACTGGTCTTTATATTTACACTGTAATCACATTTTTACCCAGTTTCAAGGCAGTTCACATTTTTCCATCACATATATTTTCATGTCAATATTAAATTTTCTACATGAATATTTCAATATCAAAGTTGTAAAACTATAGCTTCTGTTTTTTACAAATGTATGACGATTTGAAGTAAAGGGCCATCATTCATTCAATGTGCACATGGAGTTGTTGTTCTTGTATTTTTTAAAAAGCTGAAATACAATTTCTAGCCCCAAATATTCTTTCACTCAAACTACAGCATGGCACTAAGACAAAAATACAGTGTAAATTCTTTGGTCAACACAATATCTTAAACGAAAAGATAACCGGTAGATAAATTTATTTTACATAAACAAGACAAAATATTGAACTGAATGACAAAAAAAACAAAACAACAACAACCCTCAATAAACTCAATGGCTATGTTTTTACACTCTAAATTAAAATCATTATAAAAACCACCACACCATTCTTCTAAAAAAAAATCAGTGTTATTTGACAAGCCCTTAAATATTTTTTAAACATAAAACACTTCATAAGCTTGAAAATCAGCATTTTATCTTTTGATTTGATTTTAAAAATATAATTTAATGTTTAAAAATGCACAATCTCTCCCCATTCCCATCAACTTATTTGACTATTTATGGAAGCCTCCAAAATTAGACTGACCAGCAAGGTGACTCCATTCAACATGTGTTTACATGTACACTTATAGAACTGTTTCAATAAATAATTGGTTCATGTATCTGTGTGGGGGGAGATAATTATTTCATGGAAGTCCATCTGATAATGATTTATTCACCTGTGGATGCAGTGAAATAATCCGGCTGTTGATAGCATGAGATAATGAATCCACCTGGAGTGAGATAATGAATCCACATGTAGTGAGATAATCCACCTGTAGTGAGATAATGAATCCACCTGTAGTGAGATAATCCACCTGTAGTGAGATAATGAATCCACCTGTAGTGAGATAATCCACCTGGAGTGAGATAATGAATCCACCTGTAGTGAGATAATCCACCAGCAGATGCTACCTTAGAGCTGGGCTAAAAAACTTGTGTGATATAACACTGACCAGCCTGTAGTGAGATAATCCACCTGTAGTGAGATAATCCACCTGTAGTGAGATAATCCACCTGTAGTGAGATAATCCACCAGCAGATGCTACCTTAGAGCTGGACTAAAAAACTTGTCTGATATAACACTGACCAGCCTGTCCCTCATGGATGACCTAAACTGGCTGTACCAGTGCACCAGTTCTTCTCTCCGCTTGCTGCGGTCAAGGTCACTCAGTGAGGCCTCGCGCTGGAGCAGTGGGCCCAGGTCAGTGGTCCAGTTCTTGACATACAGCACAGGGGCCTCAAACTCTTTCAGGAGTCTCAGAGGGGCAGGGAATATTTTTCTCGCTTTACCTGGCGCTCCAGATAAGCTACTGACACCTGCGGTCACATGACCACACCTGCCAGGTGTCATGACGTCCTCCAGAACTGGAACAGATCCCAAGGCCATGGACTCGTAGATGCGATAGCACTCGGTGTTGATGCCTGCAGGGTTCAAGGTCAGGTCACTGTTGGACAGGACCTGGATGTATTCAGTGCGGGTTTCATCAGTCTCTTGGGGCAGCCACCTGGTGTAGACATAATGGTGGGCATTAAGTCATTAGTTAATTAGACAAGATAATTGTGGGCATTAAGTAATTAGTTAATTAGGCAAGATAAAGGTGGACATTAAGTCATTAATTAATTAGACAAGATAATGGTGGGCATTAAGTAATTAGTTAATTAGGCAAGATAAAGGTGGACATTAAGTCATTAATTAATTAGACAAGATAATGGTGGGCATTAAGTAATTAGTTAATTAGGCAAGATAAAGGTGGGCATTAAGTCATTAATTAATTAGATAAGATAATGATGGACATTATGACATAAATTAATTAGACAAGATAATGGTGGTCATTAAGTCATTAATTAATAAGACATTATGTATTTAATCAATTGATTATTAAGACTACAAATGTTTATTATTATGTATATAGTAAATTGTTTCACATAGTGTCATTAATTAATTAGACAACAGATATGGACATTTTGTAGGCCTAATTAATTAATCAACTTGATCACAAATGCTGGAAGTGATGTATCTATAATTGTAAGCATCACTGAGGCTAAAATTTCCTTTCTCTTTTAGGTCGACAAAATACTAATGGATTTTTACCCTCAGTATTGATTTGACAGGCCAAGGAAATCATTTGAAATATGAAAAAAAACAACCAACCTAATGGAAACAATTAATTAAGGCCATTAACTATTTTATTTTTTAACAGGTTCCTAATTTTTTTAATGACATTTAATTCTCTAATGATGACAGCCTTCATCAGCTGTGGTATTTATGAAACATTGGCTGGCAAGTAAATTCTGTTTGAAAAAATCATATCACACCTACGTCAAAATACTTGATACACAGAAAAAGTCAAGGTCTAGAATCTGTCTAAGTTGACACTGATGTATACAACTCACATGATACTTCTACAACTTCATGATAAGTTTACAAATTCATGATACACTTTCATATTAAAGTAATTTTTTTTTCTTCTATTTAGTGCAGAATTCCAAACTTTAAGACAAGACATGTGCGAGTGTTGTGTTGAACTACAAATGTGCCAGTGTTGAACTACAAATGTGCCAGTGTTGTGTTGAGACAAGAAATGTGCCAGTGTTGTGTTGAGACAAGAAATGTGCCAGTGTTGTGTTGAGACAAGAAATGTGCCAGTGTTGTGTTGAGACAAGAAATGTGCCAGTGTTGTGTTGAGACAAGAAATGTGCCAGTGTTGTGTTGAGACAAGAAATGTGCCAGTGTTGTGTTGAACTACCAATGTGCCAGTGTTGTGTTGAGACAAGAAATGTGCCAGTGTTGTGTTGAGACAAGAAATGTGCCAGTGTTGTGTTGTGACAAGAAATGTGCCAGTGTTGAGACAAGAAATGTGCCAGTGTGTTAGCTAACAAAATGTCTGTACTCACTCCATCCTAGCCTGGACGTAGCCGAGGTTCCTGTAGCTGCTCCCATTGATGGCAGACAGCAGGTGCTCTCTAGACGAGTTCTTGTAGATGGTGCCCAGGAAGTTGAAGAGATATTTTCTTTTGTTGTGGAGGGGCAGGTCAGTGCTCTCTATGGTGGGGAAATCTCTGTAGCTGGGTACAAGATTAAACAAGTCACTGGACAAGTTGGGCACAAGTCACTAGGACATGTTGGGTACATGTCACTGGGACAAGTTGGGCACAAGTCACAGGGACAAGTTGGGCACAAGTCACTGGGACAAGTTGAATACAAGTCACTGGAACAAGTTGGGTACATGTCACTGGGACAAGTTGAACACAAGTCACTGGATAAGTTGGGTACAAGACACTGGGACAAGTTGGGCACAAGTCACTGGACAAGTTGGGCACAAGTCACTGGGACAAGTTGGGCACAAGTCACTGGACAAGTTGGGCACAAGTCACTGGACAAGTTGGGTACAAGTTACTGGGACAAGTTGGGCACAAGTCACTGGGACAAGTTGAACACAAGTCACAGAGACAAGTTGGATACAAGTCACTGGGACAAGTTGGGCACAAGTCACTGGGACAAGTTGAACACAAGTCACTGGATAAGTTGGGTACAAGACACTGGGACAAGTTGGGCACAAGTCACAGGGACAAGTTGGGCACAAGTCACAGAGACAAGTTGGATACAAGTCACTGGGACAAGTTGGGCACAAGTCACTGGGACAAGTTGAACACAAGTCACTGGATAAGTTGGGTACAAGACACTGGGACAAGTTGGGCACAAGTCACTGGGACAAGTTGAACACAAGTCACTGGACAAGTTGGGTACAAGTTACTGGGACAAGTTGGGCACAAGTCACTGGGACAAGTTGGGCACAAGTCACTGGGACAAGTTGGGTACATGTCACTGGGACAAGTTGGGCACATGTCACTGGGACAAGTTGAACACAAGTCACTGGACAAGTTGGGTACAAGTTACTGGACAAGTTGGGCACAAGTCACTGGACAAGTTGGGCACAAGTCACTGGACAAGTTGGGTACAAGTTACTGGGACAAGTTGGGCACAAGTCACTGGGACAAGTTGAACACAAGTCACTGGGACAAGTTGGGTACATGTCACTGGGACAAGTTGGACACAAGTCACTGGACAAGTTGGGCACAAGTCACTGGACAAGTTGGGCACAAGTCACTGGACAAGTTGGGCACAAGTCACTGGACAAGTTGGGTACAAGTCACTGGGACAAGTTGGACACAAGTGATGGGGACAAGTTGGACACAAGTCACTGGGACAAGTTGAACACAAGTTACTGGGACAAGTTGGGCACAAGTCACTGGGACAAGTTGAACACAAGTCACTGGGACAAGTTGGGTACATGTCACTGGGACAAGTTGGGCACATGTCACTGGGACAAGTTGAACACAAGTCACTGGGACAAGTTGAACACAAGTCACTGGGACAAGTTGAACACAAGTCACTGAGACAAGTTGAACACAAGTCAGTGGGACAAGTTGGACACAAGTGACGGGGACAAGTTGGACACAAGTCACTGGGACAAGTTGGGCACAAGTCAGTGGGACAAGTTGGACACAAGTCACTGGGACAAGTTGGACACAAGTCACTGGGACATGTTGAACACAAGTCAGTGGGACAAGTTGGACACAAGTGACGGGGACAAGTTGGACACAAGTCACTGGGACAAGTTGGACACAAGTCAGTGGGACAAGTTGGGCACATGTCACAACTTAAAACAAAGACTTACGTTGCCACTCCCAGGGGCCACTGGAAGAAATGGACATTGTCCACCTCTGGACTGTCGTAGACCAGGAAGACGAACTTGAGCGGCCCGCCCCTGTAGCTCATGTAGGGCTGGATCCAGGAGTTGTCGCAGCCCTCATCCCCCAGCAGAACGGCCCCGGCGCCGTGGAGCCGTGGCAGGGTGGTCAAGAGGTCCAGCCACAGCCGGCTGCTGGACACCTTGGCCGGCTCACGGCCGTTGAGAACCAGCAGCACGTTCTCCGTGTCCCTGGGAACTTTGTCTGGCACCAGACCTGGACCTGTGCGGAACCTGGAGACAAGAACAGGGGGGGGGGTGTCAGGTGAGATGTCAGCGTGGGTTTGTATTCGGTGTGTGTGTGTGTGTTTATATTCGGTGTGTGTGTGTGTGTGTTTATATGCGGTGTGTGTGTGCGTGTGTTTATATTCGGTGTGTGAGTGTGCGTGTGTTTGAAATAGAAGAATATGCCACAGAGAACGGGTGTGACAATCAACAGTTGTGCTGAGGTGAGTCACGATTACAAGTTTCATAACTGAGTTAGAAAGCTCAGCTATTTTATTTCGTTCTTCTAAACTGTCTTTTACACCTTACGAAATATAAACCTTTGACTAAATCAACACGAGTTGCGTGAAGGTCACAATTATTTTCAGCAACTCGAGATGTAATCGGTAGATGATCGCCTTTATGGGGTAGATTCCGATACAGCCGTTTAGATTTACCCGGGACACAAAAGTGACCTTTCACCGGGTGATTGACGAGCTAGAAATGGCAGACTAGCAGGGGAAGTCACTCTCCGAGTGTCGCCACACAAATAAAAGAGCTCCTTGTTTATCAAGGCACTTATTTCAGGGGAAACTTGCCGGAGTCACCGACCTCTCCACATACTTGAAGCTGCCTTCAGTAGCTGCCGGTGGGGGTGTGGCCTGTAGGACGGGGAGGTTGGATTAAGAGGAAAGGGTAAAAAAAGGGAGAAAATAAATCGCGTGGATTGTAAGAGGTTTGTCGTGTTGACTACAACTTAATGCAGCAAATCAAACAGACAGTAGCTGTACAACACACAAACAAATAGAACCAGCAACGTTCTTGTTGTGGTCAATAGTCATCTCATTCAATGGTAGGTACAACATTAGAGTAACCTTTTGAACCTTACAGTCTATGTGGCAAATGGAAAGTTCGCCTGGTGCTGTGATCAGCGCTTTACTTTCCTTAACGCGAGTCAGAGCTGGGTGGGCGCAGGGACGTCGTATGGACTCGAGCCCGAGATCTGAACTCGAGAGTTTCGGGTTAGAAGTCCAACGCTCTACCATTCAACCACACCATCCCACATAATATTAGGTAGAGTTTACTAATACGTTTTGAAGTGGGAAACCTTTTAAAGTAGGTCTATCGCTCTACCATTCAACCACACCATCCCACATAATATTAGGTAGAGTTTACTAATACGTTTTAAAGTGGGAAACCTTTTAAAGTAGGTCTATCGGTAATACTTGTGGTCAATTATGTGAGTGCAACTGGAGAAGGTAGAGGTGAGTGGGTTCCTCATTGATGCCACACTTGGTGGATAAAAGGATATAGGGGGAGAGGGGAGGTCGGAATTTGAGGTGTATGAAAGGGGGTGGGAGGTACAGAAAGAATAACGAAACACTTAAGCATCTTTAGACGTTATTTTATGGTGTAAAGACTTTTTTCTTTGTAAATTTCAACAAAACTCAATATATACCATATCGACTTAGCTTTTTGTGAATTAGATCGTTAGATAATTAGATAAGGCAGAACATGATTGGCTCCCTGGTATCACTAGGACTTGTAGACATCATATGTCCATCCTGTAGTGATTTACAATAAACTAAAACAGAAAACCAAGAAGATCCGTAACCCAAGAGAAGAAATACGAGTTATCCGCCTTTCACGCTATTTTAGATAGGAAATGAAAAGGCATAAGTGTAAGAAAATCTATGAGACACAAGTGTAAGGAAAACTATCAGACACAAGTGTAAGGAAATCTATCAGACACAAGTGTAAGGAAATCTATCAGACACAAGTGTAAGGAAATCACTCAGACACGCCGATGTGAAGAGCGAGCCGAGAGACGTCTGGTAATACCACATCGTGCCCTCAACAAAGCAGACGGCGGGAAAAACGATTTCCCACGACGAAGACAACTGTGCCGCAACAGCTGCTGGAAGTTTTCATTAACTAATTGATCATTTTGTCTCGGGTTCTATCCGTCCCATGGCGTGGTCAGTAGGTGGTCAGTAGAAAAATGAAACCAAATCTTTGGACGACAAATGTATGGGGGTGTGGCCTCATCCCCCCCCCCCCCCCCCAGTGTAGGGACTCTAGCAGGCGTGTCGTATCGACTCTAGATGCTGGTGTACGATGCCAGATCTACCAGTTTCGTATGTCATAGTTACCTCATAGTTACCTCATAGTTACCAGCATTCTAACTCTGATCAAGCACTTCTAAAAGGAAAAGAAAAAAACCACTTTGAGGTGGGTTTAACCCCCCCCCCCCCCACCCTATTACCACAAGCAAAACCAGAGTGAATGCAACAGGACTTCCTCGTGTGTTGACGTCTGCGGTGGAGGGTGGTCGTCTGCGTGTCCAGCAGCAATCAGACTGGTCGCCTGGTCAGGACGATCGTCTGATAATTTAGCTTAGACATGGCATCGATCGGACGCCGGCAAATGGAATCATAACCAGGGGGAGACAATCTACCGACTTTTTGTTGGCTCGTTTATCAGAGTGACCGGCACTTGGTTACTGTTGTCATTTAGTCGGTCCCTCCATCTAGTCAGTCAGTGGGGAACGGGCGTCCAGTGTTTCTTACAGAAATCATCCCCCCCGCACGAAATGGAATTTGTATAGAAAACGTATAATTTTAAAAGTGTCCCTCCCCCGGAAAATTTAGTCCGCCCCCCCCCCCCGAACATTTCAGGTGCCCCCCCCCCCACCCAGAAGAAAAAAGTCTGGAAAAAACACTGCGGGCGTCCATACAGGCTGCTCTATGTTGACCCCCACTGGACTAGCCCAGATCATGAACTACTCTAGTACAGCTGTTCACCTACATATAACCCAAATTTTGGCAGGCGTCAGTCAAACTGATAGGATTGCTCACTCCAAAAGTCTAGAGTTCGAACCCCCGGACAGATGAGACTCGATAGCCAGGGACAGTAACTCATCTAGAAGAGAAAACTCCAAAATCAAACAACTGCTGCCTTCTAGTTTGCTCTAGGTTGGACAAAGGCTATGGAAGCAAATCCTAAAAGAAAAGCTGGCTGGCGATACGGTCCAAATGTGGATACGTGATACTTAATTATATTGGAGGAAATCACCTTCAATAATACAATTATGAGCAAAGAAGTATATATATATATATATATATATATATATATATATATATATATATATATATATATATGTATATATATATATATATATATATATATATATATATATATATATATATATATATTTATATATATATATATATATACATATATATATATATATATATACATATATATATATATATATATATATATATATATATATATACATATATACATATATATATATAAAGCTTATAATTTATAGTCTTTGTTTACAGGCTATTACATATATACATATTATAAAGACTCGTTTCAACAAACACACACAGTTAACATAAGGAGTGATGATTGATAAAGGAAAAAGCTAGTCCAGCACTGATCTTAACCTTAACTAGAGATCTATGACATCCGGGCAAGGTGTAGAATCTTGCTGGCCCTAAAGCCAGAGATTAGTGCACTAACTGGGGGCAGCAAGGTGTAGAATTTTGCTGGTCCTAAAGCCAGAGATTAGTGCACTAACCGGGGGCAGCAAGCGGAAACACGGCCTCACTTCATTCGTTGGGGCCCACTCAGGCGGCACGTTATGGCGACAACTGATATGGCCTGGTCGGGATCTAACAAGGGCACTGATTGGTCAGTTTTTGATGGTGATTTGGTGCCAGCGAGATGGATTATGACAGGGAGTAATCGCAGTGTTGAGAGGAAGGAATATATCGTGGAGGGGGGGGGGGGGTTAATGGCCTAGCCTGGTGTTATGGAGTATATATTTAGAGATAAAGAGATCGGTTGGTTAATACAACATCACACTTATCATACACAATCACACAGTTCAACGTGAACCTTGATAACATGAATGAGTTCTCTTACTCATCCATTCACTCACTCAATCAATCACTAGCTCCCTCACTCACTCACCCCCACACACACTTACTCACCCACTTACACTCACTCACCCTCCACTCACTCACTTACTCACACAACACACCATAGAACTCGACCAGTGTGGGACGATAACACAAAAGATAGAAAACTGCCGTCCTGGCGATACTTTTTCTCTTTACTATTTTAATAAAATTTAAATAAAACGAGTATATGTTCTAAATGTCACTTTATGATAGACACTGGCAGCAAGACGAGGATGGTTGACCTATAGACTGGACCTGTTTGCAGGTGACCTACAGATCGGACAACCGCTAGCCTGACCTATGCGACTGACCTGAAGTGGATGGAACCAATCGTCTTGTGGCCGTAGCTCCAGACACCGTTCATGCGATTCTCCAGAGTTCCAGTCAGTACGTGCTCCCACAGGTAGAGACCTACAGACAGAGACGGTAGCTTAGGTCAGGTAACCTTTCATACAGGTGGGCATACACACATACATACACACACACATACACACATACATACATACATACATACATACATACATACATACATACATACATACATACATACATACATACATACATACATACATACATACATACATACATACATACATACATACATACATACATACATACATGTACAACCTTTCATAGAGGTGGGCTGGTAGCTTGACAGGTAGACATACATACATACATGTACAACCTTTCATACAAGTGGGCTGGTAGCCTGACATACATACACACATATCGATTGGAGTGACATAAGTTATTTTTTTAAGTGACAGAAGACATAATTGAAAGTGACATTATTATTTTTCAAGTGACAAATGACATAATAAAGATGACTTAAAGTGACATTACACGTGCTAATGAGTTATCTTGAAGTTGTTTTAATTAAAAAATGTGTCTTATATTAAAAAAAGTATTAGTGCTTTTTGTACAAGTGAACATCATTTGTTTCTAATTGCATTAGCAAACATCGTTCAATGGCGATAGTAGCACAAACATCATTTACTGGCGCTAATAGCACAAACATTATTTACTGGCGCTAGTAGCACAAACATCATTTACTGGCGCTAGTAGCACAAACATTATTTACTGGCGCTAGATCTGAAAGCTGTAACAGATAAACGCTAGTAAACTGTACATTCAAGTACACAACTTATTTAAGTTATTAAAAAAAAAGAAATATCATTTATCTATTGGCTGAAGATGGTCTGTTGATTCTAATGTGGTTTATTTATTCAGCGGATCAATGCTGTGGTAGGGGGGGGGGGTTAGATATATCGATTAGGTTAAGTTGTGTGTGTGTGTGGGGGGGGGCACAGAAGACACTCGGAGTTTGGTACTTTCTCATTAGGCGACATGGCGAGTATTATGATTAAGGTGTTAGTATCAGGGTGGTGTTAGGTGTGGTGGATGTTAGGGTTAAGGTGTTAGTATCAGGGTGGTGTTAACTGTGGTGGATGTTAGGGTTAAGGTGTTAGTATCAGGGTGGTGTTAACTGTGGTGGATGTTAGGGTTAAGGTGTTAGTATCAGAGTGGTGTTAGTTGTGGCGGGTGTTAGGGTTAAGGTGTTAGTATCAGAGTGGTGTTAGGTGTGGTGGATTTTAGAGTTAAGGTGTTAGTATCAGAGTGGTGTTAGGTCTCAGTGACCAACTGATCACAAGCCTCAATGACCAACTGACCACAAGCCTCAATGACCAACTGACCACAAGCCTCAATGACCAACTGACCACAAGCCTCAATGACCAACTGACCACATGCCTCATTGACCAACTGACCACAGATCTCAATGACCAACTGACCACAAGCCTCAATGACCAACTGACCACAAGCCTCAATGACCAACTGACCACAAGCCTCAATGACCAACTGATCACATGCCTCATTGACCAACTGACCACAGATCTCAATGACCAACTGACCACAAGCCTCAATGACCAACTGACCACAAGCCTCAATGACCAACTGACCACAAGCCTCAATGACCAACTGACCACATGCCTCATTGACCAACTGACCACAGATCTCAATGACCAACTGACCACAAGCCTCAATGACCAACTGACCACAAGCCTCAATGACCAACTGACCACAAGCCTCAATGACCAACTGACCACAAGTCTCAATGACCAACTGACCACTAATCAAACGATACATTGCACGTAGAAAGACAATAATTAGTCTAAATGAAGCCAACACTGTGTGAACTCCCTCCCCCCCCCTCCCATGTAGCAGCCCACTCAACAATCAAACATTCCAATCAAGATGGTGCATAGATGACATTCCATTTCAGACTTTTGGGAATTGTAAGCTTCAAATTATTAGCTCACTAAAAAAAAAATTACATTTGCAAAAAAAAAATTAACAGAATGATCTAAATGATTAAGATAATAAATTATCTGTGTTATTTATTAAAGCAAGAAAAAATCTCGAAGCCATTTTTCCCCCTCGCGATGCTCGCTAATCCCTTGTGATTTGTATGGGTTGAGGGGGATACGCTAATTAACGCGTTAGAAAAGATGAAACCTTTCCGGAACAATCTGGCACCACGAACCAACGCAGTACGATTGTTTCTGTAGCACACAACACATACAATGGGTTGGTACACGAGTGTGAGGTAACTTTAACATGGGCACAGAATGGGTTGGTACACGAGTGTGAGGTAACTTTAACACGGGCACAGAATGGGTTGGTACACGAGTGTGAGGTAACTTTAACATGGGCACAGAATGGGTTGGTACACGAGTGTGAGGTAACTTAAACACGAGCACAGAATGGGTTGGTAAACACGTGTAAGGTAACTTAAACACGAGCACAGAATGGGTTGGTACACACATGTAAGGTAACTTAAACACGGGCACAGAATGGGTTGGTACACACGTGTTAGGTAACTTAAACATGGGCACAGAATGGGTTGGTACACGAGTGTGAGGTAACTTAAACACGAGTACAGAATGGGTTGGTACACGAGTGTAAGGTAACTTTAACACGGGTACAGAATGGGTTGGTACACGAGTGTGAGGTAACTTAAACACGGGCACAGAATGGGTTGGTACACGAGTGTGAGGTAACTTTAACATGGGCACAGAATGGGTTGGTACACACGTGTAAGGTAACTTAAACACGGGCACAGAATGGGTTGGTACACGAGTGTAAGGTAACTTTAACACGGGCACAGAATGGGTTGGTACACGAGTGTGAGGTAACTTTAACACGGGCACAGAATGGGTTGGTACACGAGTGTGAGGTAACTTTAACACGGGCACAGAATGGGTTGGTACACGAGTGTGAGGTAACTTAAACACGGCACAGAATGGGTTGGTACACACGTGTGAGGTAACTTAAACACGGGCACAGAATGGGTTGGTACACGAGTGTAAGGTAACTTTAACACGGGCACAGAATGGGTTGGTACACGAGTGTAAGGTAACTTTAACACGGGCACAGAATGGGTTGGTACACAACTTTAACACGGGCACAGAATGGGTTGGTACACGAGTGTGAGGTAACTTAAACACGAGCACAGAATGGGTTGGTACACACGTGTAAGGTAACTTAAACATGGGCACAGAATGGGTTGGTACACGAGTGTGAGGTAACTTTAACACGGGCACAGAATGGGTTGGTACACGAGTGTGAGGTAACTTTAACACGGGCACAGAATGGGTTGGTACACGAGTGTAAGGTAACTTAAACACGGGTACAGAATGGGTTGGTACACGAGTGTGAGGTAACTTTAACACGGGCACAGAATGGGTTGGTACACGAGTGTGAGGTAACTTTAACACGAGTACAGAATGGGTTGGTACACGATCGTGAGGTAATTTTAACACGGGCACAGAATGGGTTGGTACACGAGTGTGAGGTAACTTTAACACGGGCACAGAATGGGTTGGTACACACGTGAAAGGTAACTTTAACACGGGCACAGAATGGGTTGGTACACGAGTGTGAGGTAACTTTAACACGAGCACAGAATGGGTTGGTACACGAGTGTGAGGTAACTTAAACACGGGCACAGAATGGGTTGGTACACGAGTGTGAGGTAACTTTAACACGGGCACAGAATGGGTTGGTACACGAGTGTGAGGTAACTTTAACACGGGCACAGAATGGGTTGGTACACGAGTGTGAGGTAACTTTAACACGGGCACAGAATGGGTTGGTACACGAGTGTGAGGTAACTTTAACACGGGCACAGAATGGGTTGGTACACGAGTGTAAGGTAACTTAAACACGGGCACAGAATGGGTTGGTACACGAGTGTAAGGTAACTTAAACACGGGCACAGAATGGGTTGGTACACGAGTGTAAGGTAACTTAAACACGGGTACAGAATGGGTTGGTACACATGTGTAAGGTAACTTAAACACGGGCACAGAATGGGTTGGTACACGAGTGTAAGGTAACTTAAACACGGGCACAGAATGGGTTGGTACACGAGTGTAAGGTAACTTAAACACGGGTACAGAATGGGTTGGTACACATGTGTAAGGTAACTTTAACACGGGTACAGAATGGGTTGGTACACGAGTGTGAGGTAACTTTAACACGGGCACAGAATGGGTTGGTACACGAGTGTGAGGTAACTTTAACACGGGTACAGAATGGGTTGGTACACGAGTGTGAGGTAACTTTAACACGGGCACAGAATGGGTTGGTACACGAGTGTGAGGTAACTTTAACACGGGCACAGAATGGGTTGGTACACGAGTGTGAGGTAACTTTAACACGGGTACAGAATGGGTTGGTACACGAGTGTGAGGTAACTTAAACACGACATTGTGAGCAGCCCCTGATGTATCAGCTTGCATCAACTAGACATTTCATTACGTTAATGGGATGTTTAGTACTGAGAAGGGAGGTAACAACCTTGGTCTGACACAATAAACTTAGATGTACTGGCTAGACACTGCTCCCTTTGAGGGGGGGGGGGGGGGGAAGCGGGGTGGTGGTAACCAAGATACAGCTGGCAGCTTCAAGCAATTTTTTTTACAGCTATTTTATAATTACATTACAGTATTGTTACAACGTCATGACATTAATTTTACAACATCGTCAAAATAATGTTACAACATCGTCACAGTAATCTTACATGGCCACAGTATTGTAAAATAGTTTCAGTATTATGACAACATCGTTAATTACAGCTATGTTACAACATCGTCACGGCTATGTTACAAAATTGTCACAACATAGTTACGGCTAGGTTTCAACATCGTCACGAACATAGTTACGGCTATGTTACAACATCGTCACAACATAGTTACGGCTATGTTACAACATCGTCACGAACATAGTTACGGCTATGTTACAACGTCGTCACAACATAGTTACGGCTATGTTACAACATCGTCACGAACATAGTTACGGCTATGTTACAACGTCGTCACAACATAGTTACGGATAGGTTACAACATTGT